CTGTGTGCGTACAATGTTACGTGGGCGGTAGCTTATAACATGAAATAAATTTATCTTAAAGAAGTGCAAAGTAAATACGACAAAATATTATGCTCTCTTTTTTGAATGAGAATTTGAATTAAATTTTTATTTTGAAAAATATATTGTTGTATTCACGAGCTACCAGATATAGGGCGGATTATCAAGTTATCTTAGATCAAGGTCTGTGGTAAAATCATTAAAGTAGTTCAGTAACAGACGCTGATATCAGGATAGTCCTGGCACGTGCAGAATTACCACACCTGAGACGCGGAACTATTTATCATACATGGAACGCATGAAACATCAGGTCGTTCTTATGTACATGTATTTTAAATTGGCAGAAACTTTCTTTGGATCCATAATATAATATGGTGGCTAATTTGATACGCTTTTTTTCGTCTAGTTGGCGCTATCGACAACACGACAAAGCGCCAAACGGCGCCTTGTCGGACTTTCGTCTTGTCGTACCGTCGCTAGCGACAACACGCCAAAGCGCCAAACTTTCGTTGTCGTGCGGCGCGTTGTCACGATGTCGCTTGGCTTATAAGCCAATCCTTCAATTTGAACCGAGCGACAATGTGACATCGCGACAACACGCCGCACGACAACGCGCCGTTTGGCAAGAGACAAGACGACAGCGCGACAACGCGCCATTTGGCGCTTTGTCGTGTTGTCGCTAGCGCCAACTCGACGCACAAAAGCGTACCAAATCAGCCACCATAAAAGTTTGAACATCACTTTCACTCTGTAAACAGGTAGTTTTCGAAAAGTCGGGTTATCTTTATGAAAATCAGATAATTTCAAATATTTAATGTTAAACTATTCAGCATTATCTATGATGTTTAAATGCATTATATATGCTTGATGTATTTTTAAAGGTAATTAAACTGTTTTTTCTTGTCAATACTTAATTTACCCCCTGAGGGCCAAAATTGTCAAGGATAACAATATACTTAGTATAGCTGATGACAATCTTCGGACTATTTTTCAATAAACATCTTAACTTTTACAGCTTCATTCAAAATGAGCAAACAGTTATTTTAACACGGAAATAAGAAGAAAAAAAGTAAGATTTCATTTATTGTGATCGTCATAGCGTTGTGTAAATTTATGTTCAAACTATATTTTCTAAATCTTGTTCTGTAGAAAGAAATGAAATGTACAAGGTGACTCAAGTTCAGGCCCCTAAAGCGGAGCGTTATTTGGGGGCTGGATTGAAGTCAGATAGCGAAATAAATTAACTATCTCTTTATTTTATTTCAAACTAATATAAAAATGTACTTTTCCACTGATGCAAATCCCAAAACCACCAAACTTAATGAATCGTATTACTTGATGTGTTTTTTTTCTTAGCTAGATAATACGCTCTTATATATTTGCTTCAGATATTTAATTGTATTGCTCTGCAATGGGAAGTATTTCAAATATTGATAAACACAATAAAAAATTATCATTTTCATAATCTGATAAAGTATTTCCTTGAAAAAAATATCAATAGGGAAAAAAATAGTTGGCTAGTTCTCGGAACTATATAGATAATTAATGTACCTAACACTTACCAACAACACAATCTTTCATGGTTTGTTGTTGTTGTTTAAGATACCAAATACTATCGACGTAGTATTATATGGCATTTTGGATTTTAGACCAATTTAAAGTTAATTCAGCCAATATTATACCGGTATTAGGCGTACGTAATTAGCACGGATTTTTCGTTTAAAAAAAACCTTCCGATTAAACACTGACCTATCTCCGTCAAAAAACAATAAAAGCGACTTTCATTGATGTTGATGTGACAGAGAATGACCTTTAATAGACTAGATTAAATACCTGAGCGTGGGAAATAGCTTCATTTTGCTTTTCACTTCTTTGCAAAATTTCAAGGTATCAAATTTATAGGTTTATTGACAAAATAATATGCCTTTAGCTATTCACATCCACAAAATATATGACTGGAGCAACGTAACACAATTTTACTGACAATGAAGTTTATTTATTTGGGATTTTGGTCAGAAAAATAGTCTATTGTTGGTAAGGGTTTTTTTGTGGCTGGAGTACTTAGTTGTTAGAAAGTTTAAATGGAGATATAACGCCTTAAGAAAGCCCAAAACGGCAAAATTGAAAATGTTGCATGCTCGGTTTGATTGAGCCTGTTCATGGACGGTAATGTCAAGTGCAAACTACCGTCCACGCCCCCTAGCACCGGCTTAAGAAGAATTCAACATTTAAACATCAAATGTTAAAATTTAGAATTTAGAAACATCCGCAGATGTTGACATAAAAGCACATCCTTCATTGCTCGATGTTCACTACAATGCCAGATCTTTTACAAGATACTGCTCCTGTTCCTCTATCTGTCTAATGTTATTATTAGACTGTCTAATTGTAATTTAAGACTATCTAATGTTAATTTAAGAATGTTTAATGTTAATTTAAGACCGTCTAATGTTGTGTACAGTAAATATAGGACTGTTTATGTTAATTTAACAATGTCTTATGTTAATATAGGACTGTGTAATGTGAAGATTAGGCTGTCTTATGTAAATTTAAGACTGTCTAATGCTAATATAAATGTGTGTAAAGTTTATATAAGAATGTCTAATGTTAATTTAAGAATGTCTTATGTTAATATACGGCTGTGAAATGTGAATATAAGGCTGTCTAATATGAATTTAAGACTGTCTTATGTTAATATAAGTGTGTGTTAAGTTTATATAAGACTGTCTATTGATAATTTAAAAATGTCTTATGTTAATATCATACTTTGTAATGTTAATATAAGACTGTCTAATGTTAATCTAAGATTGTCTTACGTTAATATAAGGTTGTTAAATGTCAATATAAGGTTGTTAAATGTTAATATAATGTTGTCTAATGTTAATCTAAGATTGTCAATGTTAATATAAGGCTGTGCAATGTTAATCTAAGATTGTCTTATGTTAATATAAGTGTGTGTTAAGTTTATATAAGACTGTCTTATATTAATTTAAAAATGTCTTATGTTAATATCATACTTTGTAATGTTAATATAAGACTGTCTAATGTTAATCTAAGATTGTCTTACGTTAATATAAGGCTGTTAAATGTTAATATAAGGTTGTTAAATGTTAATATAAGGTTGTCTTATGTTAATTCAAGAATGCCTAAAGTTAATATAATTAAGGCTGTGTTATTTTTAAAAAAAAGGAAAACCCCCTTATTAAAAAAATTTAAAGGCTGGGGAAAATTAAATTATAAGGGGTGTTTTTATTTTTAAATTTCCCAAAAAATTTTGCCTTTAAAGGTTAAAAATTTAAGAAAACCTTTTTTTATAAAGGGGGAAAAATTTAAATTTTTAGATTTCTTTTTTTTAATTTTAAGGGTTTTGGGGAGTACTAAAACAAAAGGGGCCCCAAGAGTTTAAACCCCAAAAACCCCCCGGGGTTTTTTTGCGGGGTTTTACATGGCCTTTTTTCATTTTTAAATTCCACTTTTTGTTTGGGAAAGGTCCAAAAAAATTTTTTAAAAAAAGGCATTTTAAAAAAACCGGGATTTTTTTTTACTTACCCCCCAGTAACAAAATGAAAAATAAAATTTATTTGCCCCTTTAAAAAACTTAAAAACCTTTAAAAAACAAGGGAACTTTAAAAAGGCACTTTTAGAATAAAATTTTTTTTTTAAAAATTTTTCGGGTTTTTTACTTTAAAAAATGATTAAAAATTTTTCCCAAACTTTTTTTAGTTTTTTTGGTTTTTTTTTTTGGGAGATCATTTTTTTTTTTTACAAATTTTTTTTGAAATAAAAAAAACCCGAGGGAAAAAAACCTTTTTTGCGAAATTATCTGCAAAACCTTTAAAATTGAAAAAATTTGGGCTTTAATCTTTGGGCCCAACTCCTTTTTTGTGGGGCCTTTTTATGTTTTGCATTTTTTTTTAAGGGAAAATTTTTTTATAAAAATAAAAAGTTTTTTTAAATTTTCCCGGGGGGGCGTCTGAATTTTTTTAAAAATATTATTTTTTTTAAAATTTTAATTTTAATTGAACCCAAAAAGGAACCCTTTTAAGAACTTACGGAAAAATTTCGGGGGTTTTTTCCCCCCGGGGAAACCCTTTTTCGTGTTGGGGAAAATTACTATTTTGAAAGGGAGGGGGCCCAAAACCTTGGGGGAAAAAACGCCAAATTAACCTTGGATTTTTTTCTTTTTGGTTTTTCCCCCCGAAAAAAAACCGACCCCAAAAATTTTTTTGTTTTAAAAATTTTAAATTTAAAAATTTGTTTTTTTGTTTTAATTAATTTTTCCAAAAATTTCTTTTTGTTTAAAAGCATAAGAAGAAAAATTAGAAATTTTGTTTTTGGGACTTTCTTAAAACTTATATGAGTTTCCTTAAAAATTTGTCAACGAGTTTTAAATAGTTTTATTTTTGGGAAGGGAAATGGCTTTTATTGGAGTATTCAATTTGTTGCTAAATTTCAAAAACTTTGGCCCCTAAACCTGGGGGGGTGGGGAAATGGGGGGGTAGGGGGGTTTTGGGTTTTATAGCCACGTCTCAGGGAAAAATTTTAAAATTTTTGGGGGGGGGGGCATTTTATTGAAAATTAAAAGACACTGACTGTCATTTCGATATATTACGCAATTTATTTCGAGGTTGTTAATGCAAAGTAATATATATATATATATAAATTTAAAGTGAGCATATTCTAACTTTTCTAAACATTTTCTAATATATTCACTGTTCAATTCATATAAATTTGAAAGGCTGATCTTATCTTGCCGAGGAAACATCATGAATTGATTAAAACATGTAAAAAGAAAGGTTACCCTATAAAATCTACACGCTGTGAAATATACAAACTATAGCGCGGATAAATTATATATAATAACAATTAGCGATGCGAAATATGATAGATTGACAGAAATCTCTAACAGCAAACATTTTAATGTTGATATTTTGATGTTTTCTGCAGTGCAAAATATTAATAGATTACCTGTATATTTACAGATAGTTTAAATGTTGATTGGGAACGACTGCACGTGATTCTGACGTGAAGATGGGTGAGGTCATTAAGGAAGATATTGACGATAAGCCCAAGCCTCCAGATGTAGACAGAGGATATGCTTGGGTCGTCCTGGCAGGTCAGTTAGTTATTATTATAAAAAGATTAAAATGCTTGACTTATACACATACATATTTCATTTAACTATAAGGGGATGGTTCCACTTTCATATGTACGTATTGTTGCAATCGAAGGCGAACGGATAATATATCTGAGCCGTGTCATGATAAAACCAACATAGTGGGTTTGCGACCAGCATGGATCCAGACCAGCCTGCGCATCCGCTCAGTCTGGTCAGGATCCATGCTGTTCGCTTACAGACCCTATAACAAGTAAAGAAACTGATAGCGAACAGAATGGATCCTGATCAGACTGCGCGGATGCGCAGGCTGGTCTGGATCCATGCTGGTCGCAAATCCATTATGTTGGTTTTGTCGTGACACGGCTCATATATTGTTTTACAGCATAGCAGCCGGCTTTGTTTCAGAATACTGCGTACGAATTATTTATCTATGATAAAAAGTAAGGGATATGTAAAAAAAAATGTAAAGGATAGACCTGAAATTAAATGTACAGGAATAATTATAGTTCTTTAACTTTAAGGTTAATTTGTAAATTATTACAAATTTTATAAAGTCAAACGTAAAACAAGTAAAAGACACCTTAAATTTTTAAAAAGCATTAATATCAATATGCTGTAATTTAATTTCAATGTTAACAAAATGTGTATTTTCTTAACAGCTGCAAGAAATTATTATTATGTCATTATTTGCTAATACCCCGGTCACATATTCACGGAATACGCCCACGGAAGAGCCACGGATTAATTCCGGCATCGTCCGTAGCTAACCGTACTGGTCAGTAGCTCTCCGTAATGTTACCGTAATCAATCGTAGTAGTCCTTGTATATCCGTAGCGATCCTTGACAATTTTTGAACATGCACAAAAATTTGCTACGGAAAAATCAACCGTAGCGTATCCCTGCTAGTCCGTATTAAACCGTACTGATATGTACTGGTCCGTACGAAAACCGTACTAGTCCGTACTGATTCGTAGTCCACCAACTTGTCAAGGATTTCCACGGTTTGGTACGGACAACTACGTATTTGTACGGTTACCCTACGTATAAGCTACGGATTAATACGGCATTGTCACGGAAAGCCACGATCGTAATACGTTGTACTACGGAGAGGCAGGGATAAGCACGGTCTTATACGGTTTATTGCGTTGCAACACGAAACGGTACGGAATGGTACGGTCCACCACTGTTTAGTACGGATAAATTAAGTATCATGTACTTTTTCAAGGGTATAAGTTAAAAACAGACATATATTTAGGGGAACATTCAATTAATGATAATTGTCATTTACTGGCTGCAACTTTATATTGAAATGGCTCAGAATGCGGAGGCAGAGGTCGAGCTGCTTGATGACATGCATAGAGTTAAAAATATATGAATATCGTACTGCAATTCATAAGTAGTAGAATAACATTTAATCTTACATATTTTACAAACGTTTGATCGTGAAATTGAAGTAAATATGTACATAAAACGAAGTGTCTCATAAGCCTCGGACTCTGGCCCTTTTTACAGGCTTTTTACATATTTTTAATACATAAACATTCACGATAATTAATTTAATTGTAAAATGAACAGCAAATTCTAAAATCAATTGATCAACATTATTCATTAACGATTACTAGTCCATATCTGATCTGGTAAGAGAAGACTTTTCGAGATGGTGGACTAGAGATGGGCTTTTACGAAGACCCCTTCATCTTTAGTATGAGGTTCTCATGGCCGAATTTGTTGGGGATATGACGTCCTTTAAGAAATTATCTTTAATCGGACCTGATATGTCTCAGGGGCCGGACGCGATGAGGTCGAATCTTCTCCGCCAAAATCATTGGACTCTGCGATTCCTTTTCATGGTGTTCTTTACTTGTGAGGCATTTTGAAAATGAGCATACAAGCGGTTGTGGACGGATAAAATAGGTCCGTATAGATCCGTGGCACATCGTTCTTCTCCGTATTAATTCGTTCTTCTCCGTATCAGACCGTACTTATCCGTACTAACCCGTGCTTATACCGTAACAGACCGTAGTGTATCCGTAGTGCGTCCGTCCTCATTCGTGTCGCTCCGTATCAAACCGTGTCGGTCCGTAACAATCCGTGTCTCTCCTTGGGCTTTTGGTGGTAAATCCGTCAGCCTCCGTACTCATACCGTTGTGTGTCCGTACTGGAACCGTAGCTGACTACGGAATTTCACATTTCCGTAGTAATCCGTGAACGATTTGACCGTAGCTCTTCCGTGGCATTATCCGTGAATATGTGACCGGGGCTTGACATTTCTTTTTGTAGATAACATACAAGTTATACTTCGGACGAGTATCTTTTTAAAAGATACTTCTTGTTTATCTTATCATCTAAAAGTTAAACCTGACCAATCTATCTCTGTTGACATACTAGACCGAATAAAAAACAAATTGACATTTTGTTGTGAAAAGAAGAAAATGAAACGTTACGCTTCGAATGTATATAATTACAAAATATTTGTATAGTTTATTGAAGTTAAACGTGTCATGAATTTGTATAGAGGCGTTGTATACAGATGTATTCAGTTTCATAAGGAATAAAAGTAGAGAAAAAAGATACAGATGTAAAAGTTTTATTGCTTCTTTTCTTACTATGAAATATAAAAAAGCTATCAAAAATCAGTAAATTACGAAGTTCGCCATTTATCACACTAGTATATGCAATATGTATTAAAGAATTTTATCTTTATAAAAACTAAATTTGGCTTTTAGTGTAGATGATGTTTTATTTAGGTAGGTTGGCTTTAGTAAGTATGTTAGCAATACATCATCATATGGCGACTTTTCAGCTTTACTGATGGAGCAAGACCTCAGGTGCCCTTCTGAAAGGGCACCTGAGTAGAACCACCGCCGTCCGTAAGCCAGCGGCACTTCAATAGAACCACCGCCGTCCGTAAGCTAGCTGGATAGCTTCTTCATTTGAAAAAAATTCAAAGTTCCTATCGGGATTCGAACACACAGCGATAAAGGGGCAAGTGGTTTGAAGTGAACGACCTTAACCACTCCGCCACGAAAGGCCCTGCTTGTTTACAATGGTAAAACTATACCGAAATCAATAACAAAATTCAGGCAGTTTACTCTATTTTGCAAAAGAAAAAAAGAGAGAGAGATTGACTCATTCCTTTCAGCTAGTTCCGTCACTATAATCGCATTGATAATTTGATATTGAAAATATTTTTCAGGATGTTTCTTCATGTACATGTTTGTGGTTGGAAGCATTAAGGCATATGGAGTACTGTACACAGAAATGGTCGAGTATTTTGGCACCGGATCCGGAAATACAGCATGGATTGGAAGCGTCTGTTCCCTCCTGATGTTAGGTCTCGGTAAGTCTCGCGCTCTTGTGTAATGACCGCGAGAAAATGTTAGATAAAAAAGTTAAAACAATTTTCATGAGCTATATGCGTATCATAAAATGAAACTTAACATTAACTCAAAATTAAATAACTTCATAATCACAATAAGAGTTAATTCCCCTTTCATTATTGTACTTTACGATTGAATTGTTGTTTTTCAGGTCCAATAGCCAATTTACTGAGTAGAAAATTTTCTTTCCGGAAAGTTTCTTTTATTGGCGGGGTGTTACTTGGTCTAGGGTTCTTTTTATCTGGATTTGTACCTAGGATGGAGTACATGTACATCACATTTGGTGTAGTTGCAGGTGAGTGATTTATTTTCTATGGTGGCTGATTTGTGCCATGTCGTTGTTTCGTTTCGCTGGGCGACGAGCGACAACACGAAAAGATGACAAAGTGACAGCTTCTTTGTCGTACTATCGTGTTTTCGCCTTCTACCCGTGAAGCGAAAGTACGAGAAAATATTGAATTCGTCGTATTTTCGTGTTTTCGCCTGGCGCCCCGCGGAACGAAAACACGACATGGCATAAATTAGCCACCATAACTTTCAGTACGATGAAAAGATTTATTCTTATTGCTTTCTTGCATTTCATTTATCACTTATTTAACCAAATCTTGTGCACTTGACATGTATTGCACTTTAAATGACATACAGATTTCAAAGACCTTATGGTCATTTATTTGAATATGACTGTTAAAATTGCGAAAATTCTTTACCTTCCTTCACTAATTGTTTGCACTTTGTTGAAATTGAATATATGGCGATGAACATGATATATGTTTATATGATAATAAAATAATTGAATTGATATTGAATTGACTAATTGTTTACACTTTGTTTTGAAAAACCAAAGAAACAAGAACCATATGCGTCTACTGAGCCGCGACTGTGTTCTTGTCTTTATGGTTTGCTTTGTTTATGACACTTTAGTCATAGTCAAGTTTTGTTCATATACAATGAATGCCTATTTATATATATTAAACTTGTACCAGATTACCCAACAAAAGATGTGTCTCGTCTTGTTACACAGAAACATTTAAAATTTCCGCCTAAAAGTTTCCATATTTTGATCAAAGTTTCTCAGAACTATGTAATAATTTCAGGTATTGGGTACGGACTAACGTTTTCACCATGTTCAACCATCATCAGCTTCTACTTCGACAAACATCGGGCTCTTGCTAACGGCATTACAGTATCGGCAAGTGGCATCGGTGCTCTATCGTTCCCATTTCTTTATAAGTAAGTATACAATGATTGAACATGTTAGAAGTATTTATTATTATAGTCGATAAATAGTGGTTGACATTAAAGCGACCTTCAGCTTTTCTAAATGTCAAGTATATTATTTTTATAGTTAAAACATTTATTTCCAAAAGCTTGATACAACAAAATATAGACATGCAGATGAAATATTAAATTTGACAATTACAGCCTTTGAAATATTATTAGAATAGAAGGCAGGTATATTACATAATTCTCTTGCCTGATTGTTTTTATTGATTGTTTTAATGAATTATGAAATGATTTTTTTTTTAATTTGCAAAGGTATCTCATTGAAGAGTTCACGCTAACAAGAGCACTATGGGTTGTTGGAGCAATTGTGGCAAACGTCTGCGTTGCAGCTTGTGTATTTAGACAGCCACACATGCTAGTACAAGAAAAGCGGCGAGAAAGGGCAGCTTATAAAAGAAAAAGTGACCAAAAGGCTCTGTTAAATGGTAACAGTGCTTTTGGGTATGATGAAGACGCTAAAGAAGAAACGAAAAAGAAATCGTGTGATTGTAGCGGATTAAATCTAAATTTTTCATTATTTAAAAATCCATTATTTACAATGTATGCTTTTGCGTTTACATTCTGTATGAATGGCTACGGAAACAACATTATTCTCATTCCATCTCATGTGAAAGAACTAGGATATAATAAAACATATGTAGCGCTAAGTGTAACCATTCTGGGCGGATGTGAGGTCATAGCTAGAATATTCTTCGGATGGTTCGCTGATTTGGAACTCATCAAAAGAAAGAACATATTTCTAATAAGTATGTTCGTCAGTGCAATTTTTGCTTTTATCGCTCCATATTTTGACAGTTTTATTTTTATGGCTATTTACGCTGCCATTGTTGGGATTTTCCCTGGCTCTTTCTGGAGTTTAATCTCAGTGCTGGTTATAGACGTTGTAGGTCTGGAGAACTTTACATCGGCGTTTGGTCTCATCTCACTATGCCTAGCTCTTGGAGCGTCCGTCAGTCAGCCAATCATCGGTGAGTTGATATCTACCATATCTTCATTATTCGTACATGTATATAAATTAAAGAAAAAAAGAATGTAGAAAGTATTACTGATTAAAACCCAAAACTTATTTGATAATTATAATTTCAAACGATTTTAGCATTGGTCACAACAATTTTTTAAGTATTTTTCATTTTTGAAAATTATAGAATCTACTCAAGAATATTATCTTTCAGTCATTAAATTTCTATTTTCAGAAAAAAAGTAAATACTTGTCATGTTTGAACCTACTTTAAGATAAGCACCTTTAAGTTGTGAATAAAAAATTTGGTTTTGCGTCGTATTTTCAGAACTACTTTTCGTGAAGATACCTTGGTTATTTTTTATCACACCTTGTAGTTGTCTCCCTTTTCTGTTCTAGGTTGGTTACGAGACATCTACGGTAATTGGTATCCATCCTTCATAGTGACCGGTTGTTTATTTACTCTTGCTGGACTTACTGTTTGTTTACAACCATTTATCAAACGATGTTGCATGAGACCCGAAACTGATCAACTATATTTAGACATGTTAGGAAACGTTCCATTGAGACATGCGCCGAAGACACTTCCGCCGGAAGTTGATGATAATGATTCGCTTTTGGAGGAGGACGTTGACATTACTTTTACATCTCATAGAATAAGCCAAATATACCGCCCTTACAAGCCTGAATCTCCGCAAAGCCCTCATAATACATCTGCACCCATAGTTGATCCTAGTGAAGTGTAATATATTTATTTTGTTTAATGTGTGACTGCCGCTTGTCTTTTGCTGTTGTTATTTTATGTTGTGCTACAGATGCAATAAATTAATATCTCGGAATAAATCCATATTTATGAAGCTATGTTTATCACAGTCGTTTTTATTTGCTTAATACGTTCATACTTCACATGGTCCATTATCTGTAAGTTCATACGTCAGCAAGTTCGTGTCGTGAGACAGTGCAAACCACTTAACAGCAACTATTGGTTCCTTTAGAGAAGTGGTCTGAGCCTATTATTTAATAAGCATTTTGGAGCTGTACCATTTAAAAGGAGTAAAAACGAACAAAAACGAAAAACAGGCATGCTTTATATTGTCTCCAGCAAAATAAAATTGTAATTATATTTCTTTCAATCAATCAATCAATCAATCAATCAATCAATCTTTCATATACACTGTCGCACTAATTAAGCATTATGGAAATGACTTTTCGTGCACAAACGAGATAGAATGATTTAGCTTAAGGTTTTTTTATTCGACAGAACGTACAGAAATATTATTTTGTATTCCTCCTCGTGTGATTTTATTTCTTACAATATTCATGTAAATGATGTTAGTGGTGTTTGCAGTTTACCCTCCGGACCACGAGCAACGCATCGTTCCTGGGTAATCTTTCAAGTCGTTTACCAGTACTAGTTGCCCTCACTTATGCAAGGAACTGATAACTTCTGTTCATGCCAGAGCAGAGGAACTGTGCGAATGACCTTAGACAGGATTTCATGATCAATCATAACGGAGGTGACCTGCACCGTTGGGGAATCGGACCAGGGTCGCTTGATTCACAGTCCAACGCTTTACCTATTGATCTAACCAGACAATGCTAACTTATAATTGTGCTGTTGATGTTTATTGATATAAAGACAGTCCTGACACGCATGTTCATGTAAAATACCGATTTTTAATATCATATATTTCATAAAAATATGAGCCGCGTCACAATAAAACCAACATAATGGGTTTGCGACCAGCATGGTTCCAGACCAGCCTGCGCATCCGCGCAGTCTGATCAGGATCCTTGCTGTTCGCTTTAAGTTTCTTTAATTGTCATATGGTCTATAAGCGAACAGCATGGATCCTGATCAGACTGCGCGGATGCGCAGGCTGGTCTGGATCCATGCTGGTCGCAAACCCATTATGTTGGTTTTGTCGTGACGCGGCTTAATTATATTTTTTCTAAGATTTGCCGCCGCATGCAATACAAGGTTGGTGGTTTTGGTGAATACTTTCTTAAACCATGAGGGGATTTGACCCCTGGTATTGCTTAAAGTTTGTAACACTCGAGTTTTAACCAAAATCATCCTTCCTGTTTCGGCGCCGTATGACATAAATTATGTTAGTGAACCGTGAAACCAAACAAAATAAATTGTACCACACTGTTTGGGCGCTTACTAATACCCTGTTGTGAACTAGTGCGCAAAAATGTTGACAAAATAACTGCAAAGTAATGTCACATGCAATTATTAACGGGATATTTATCACTGTTAGCTCTTATTTTTCACAATTTGTAGAATTTATAAAAATATTTCATCATTTTCATCAAAACTGTGTGTAAAAACGGACTGTACATATATAAAAAAGAATTAAAAATATTGCTTCCATTTAAATGACTGTTACGACATATGAAGGCAAACACGCACAGACGCTTGAAAATGTTTATATCAATGATTAAATATGATCATTTCAGTGTGATTTTTCAAACTCTTTTTCATCCAATGAGAGTATCTGAATAATAAACGGTCAAACACTGATCTGAAAAAATGAAACGTAATAAGTAAGTTTGTCCTTACTTGCGATTTATTGAAGTTCTTCCTGAATTATAAAACCTCATTATGAATTAAATCCCCTAACTTGGCCCTTCTAAACAAAGTTATAATAAAAAAAAGTTAATGCCATTAATAGAAGAAAGTGCTTCCCAACTTTTACTTAAAACTTTAGAGTTAGAAAACCTAGTATAACTCAAAGATTATGAGTGTCCCGGTCGTATTAAGGAATTCACAAACTCCTAATTATGAGTAACATTCTTTATTACATAATAGATTTTTGTTCTCTGAATAAATGTACTGCTTATTAAAAATTAAAATTGTCAAATAAGGACTTTTTTACTCCTAATAAGGAGAAATAAAAAACCTAATCATTTTTTTTGTACTGTTAATGAAGAGTTTAAAAAGTTGTATAAGGAGACATGGTGAGCTAATTAGGACAATATATCCTCATAATAAGGAGGTTAACCCCTAATTAGGACTTGTCATGTCTTAATTAGAAGTTGAAAAAAATATTTATAGAGAGAAAAAAATATTTAAATTCTGTAAGAGAAAAACATAATTAGGAGTTAGATATTATTTCTCCTAATTTGGCTTTTAAAATTTCTTCTTATTAAGAGTTACAAAGTTAATTAACTTATTTCTCCTAATTTAAAAATCCTAATTAGTTGTAACTAAGAGTACCATAGTTCTAATTGGGGTTTTCTTAAAAACTCCTGATTAAAAGTGACAAAGTAATTATTAGGCTTTTATTTACTCCTAAATAAAAGTAACAAAGTACTAGGTTTTTAAAACTCCTCTTTACGAACTAGTTTTTTTTATAGGATATAAACATTTGACACCAAGCTTCTTCCATACAAAAAGAGGGAAAAAACACAACAATACTGTGTTATAAATGTTGTCATTAGAAATGTTCGACCGTGCGACCACATACACGCATCGAGGACATGCCAAAAGGAAAGTGACCGTGCGACCTCATACACGCATCACAGGATTCCCCTTCTCATACGAGAAAGGGACAAAAACTGTCCGCCCTTTACTAAAGGGCAGACTATAAAAACGCGCCATTTCCTTAATGTTATATGGAGGCTAACTTCAAAAATATGACTTGAATGGGTATATATATAACTACAGTTACGCAAACCAATTGGGGATCGGTTTTCGTTCTTTTTAAGTTCGCTATAAAATTTCAAAAAGCTCATATTTAATTTCTTGGAAAATTTCGAGTCTACGATTTTTTCTACTTTTCATTTTTCGAATGTAACAGATTTTATAGAATTCTGCAAAACGCAAACGTTTGAAAAACGTTTCATATGTACTCGTATTAAATGCAGGGGATATATTTCACACTTTGTTCGCAAATATTAACCTGGGGGCTTTTTTGCCAAATTACACATTTAATTTCTTAACTGGCTTAGATTATGTGATGGGCTGCTAGAAATACTAGAGCCAATGCAAGTCATCTGATCGGATGTGTCACTCATTGTTTAATTCAAAGACAAAGGGTTGTTCTTTACATTATTATACTACTCAAAGTTTGCTCAGCACCAAGAGTATTTTTGTACCTATCTTATGTTGTATGTCAAATAGTAGATTTATTTCTGATCTTAACGACACATATATTTATAAACAGCATTAAGGAATTTGTTATCAATTGTTATGTGTTTTCATTTGATATGTTTTGATTGTAATGAAATTGTGTTTTAGACGGATATAGTGGAATTTGTGAATTTTTGTCCTCATTTTTGGCCACAAAAATCTTTGCAAATAACTGATTTTGCTTTAATCAATGACAGAGCATACTCCCCATCAGGTTTCTTATGACGGCTTGTGGGATGGAATTCCACTCGTCGACAAGGGCGGCACCAAGCTCCTGTGTGCTTCTTGGCTGGACCCGACGGACTGAAATACGGACCTGTAGCCCATTCCATACATGCTCAATGGCGTTAAGATCCAGGGATCGGGCCGGCCAGTCAAAACGAGTAATACCCTGTCTTTCGAAGTACTCTTGGACAAAATTGACTGTATGGGGGCGGGCATTATCATCCATCAAAATGAAAACATTACCATTTGCACCAGCACACAACCCTACCTGGGTGTTATGGATCTCATTTATCGATACCGCTGGGCAGTCAATGTGCATCTGTCGAGGACAATGAGGTCGGTAAGTCCATCCCAGCTGATTCTACACTAGACCATTATTGATCCGCCGCCATAGCGTGTATGGAACCGTTCCCCTGACCTTTGCCATACTCTAGCACGCCTATCTGTGTAGTCCAGGCAGTACCTTGACTCGTCGATGAAGAGGCCAGGCTGCCAGTTCATCCAGCTCCAACCAGCATGGTCCATGACCCAATCATATCGGAGCCGACAGTAATATCTAGACAGCGGGATCCGTATACATGGTCCTCTCGATTGCAGACCACTTTCATACAAACGTGTGCGTATGGTTTGTGTTGACATCCGCACCCCTGAAGCATTTTGAAGATCAGTAAGAAGTTGGGTTGCAGTTGCAAAACGGTTCTTTTGTGCCTGGATGACCACAAACGATCCTCAGCCTCAGTTGTCACCCTTGTTCTGCCACCACCATGTCGTCTAACAGGTGTACCATGCTGTTAGAACCTCGCCTAGGCTCGAGTGATAAACGTATGGGCCACACCAAACACCTCACCAACCCCACAAGATTTTCAATGTAAATATCATAACATTAAATGATGTAGAACACACGATGCTGGAAAACTTGGTGCTTAGCAAACTTTGAATAGTATATAATGTAAAATCGCACTGAATTTATTCTATATATACGATGTATATTATTGTTACTGAAGTACAAGCCTTTAAACTTTCATTTGTACTATTTTTTCAAACTGGAAGAGTTACCAAGGCAAGAGGTTCATCGAAAAAAGCTTTATAATGTCACATAGTAACTTAATTTAAAATTAAAGTCCATCAATCCAATTCGAACCCTAATAATAGTATGTCTATGACATTTAACTGTTGGATAAATACCCCGAACACAATGCTACTCTTCATATACTCTACAAAATTTAAACATGTAAACAATAGGTAATTTTATAAAATAAGCTCGGAGCAAATTAAGCAAAAGTTTTGCATGAATTAGCATATTATTTCAAATAGCATTGTGTTTGGGGCATTTATCCAACGTTTGACAGAAAGAGAAGAGAAACGGCTAGGTGTGACATTGACCATCAGAACCAATGGCTAAGATTTTGAGCTATTTAAATCTTTGTCACTATCCCCGCTGGGAAACAACAACAACCAAACAAAACAAAAAAAAATTGTCACATTCTGTTAACAATTTTATATGAAATAAAAATCATTAATATACATATATTTATAAAAAACATAACAGTTGTTTGCAATATATAATAAGAATATTAATATAACATATATCTCATGCACAACCATTTTCAATATATAATGCTTGAAACATACTATCCCGAGATCATTTATAAATACATATCTGTACAAGCACAAGCCCATAAGGTCAATAATACGGTATGATAATATCTGTAACAGATTTTGAATGTGACCCTTGAACCAAAAAATATTTGCCACTAGTATAGTTTCATACTAGTCCGCGCGTCCATGCAGTCTTAACAGACTATGTATACCTACTCATGGCTAAAGTTTCACCTTGATATCCCTAAAATTGATAATTGTCGGCTCCACAGATGACGATTCCATTTAAGAAATACAGCAGGTTAATGAGTAACTGTCATATAATGCTTTATCCTCTATTATTGAAATAGGCAATTGTTTTTGTCAATATTCATTTGAACACATTTTCTGTTAAATCTGTCTGTGCAACGAACCAATCTATTCTTCAGTTGTCAGGGCTGCGAATCAAATATTGTTAAGTGCGGAAGTTCAATATTGAAATGAGCCGTGCCATGACAAAACCAACATAATGGGTTTGCAACCAGCATGGATCCAGACCAGCCTGCGCATCCGCGCAGTCTGATCTGATCAGGATCCATGCTGTTCGCTTACCAACTCTATTACAAGTAGAGAAACTTGAAAAACTGGCTTATAAATAATTTTAAATCTCATTTTTATTAGCTAAAGGTGCCGGTGACGTCACATCTTCACTTTTAAAATCTGTTTCCCTATCATACGGTGTGTAAGTTCTACTTATTCTGGACGAGGTGAACTCATCTTCATCAGCGTTTACAACCAACAACGATCCAGTTTCACTAGTATCAACAATACCAGTTTCATTGTTAGGTTTGTTTGACAACCGGTGGCCATGGTCTACATGTATATTGTTATCGTCCTCATTTACCGGAAGTGGTGCTGTCGTACAATATCGTATGATAACTGGTTCCAGTGACACGACTAAACCTCCAATCAGAAATAAGCAGGCGGTCATTATAAAAGATGCATTCCAGTTGCCATAGTAATCCTCAAGCCAGCCTGAAATAAATAATGTAATCTTGCAAAACATTATAGGCCTCAATTATTAACATTGTTCTTTCTTTCTCTCTTTCTCTAAAGAATCTTTATGTTTACATGGTATATAACCTATTGAATAGGTTAACTTATTAGGAAATGATTTTTTCTAAATAATTATCCATTATAAATTGTAGCTCGTTCATAAACTGTAATACACCTATTTTCAAAGTCTTGACTACCAAATGTTTAAACTTAAAAAGAACAACAAAACCCCACTAACTTACCTACACAAGGCTGGCTGACAACGACTCCGACGGCCAAACATAGCATTAGCAGACCATATGCAGATGTAAAATTGTCTATCCCTACCACATCTATGATAAGAACTGATAATAAACTCCAGAATGAACCCGGAAACGTTCCTATTATTCCAGCATAAATTGCCATGAATATAAAACTATTGAACAACGGAGCAATAAATGAAAATAAACTAGCTGTAAGCATACTCATTAGAAATATGTGTCTCCTTTGTATACATTTTTGGTCAGCAATCCATCCGAAGAATAATCTAGCAAACACTTCACAGACGCCCATGATATTAACACCGTACCCCGCATGCGCGTTGTCATACCCCAGTGCTTTAATTTGCGCTGGTATTAGAATAAGGTTATTACCGTATCCATTCATGCACAGAATAAATCCTATACAGTACATTGTAAATCTTGGATTTCGGAACAAAGAAAACTGAAAATTTAATTGCCCACATTTGCCTGGCGGTTTATGCTGATCCTGGTATATTTCAGTATCATTATTGAGAAATGATTCTTCATCACTGCTTATCTTGTGGTTAGTAGCTGGATGTTCCGTTTCAAGGTGAAGAATGGGTGGTTGTCGGAAGAGACAGGCTGCCGCACAGACGTTTGCCAAGAACGCTCCCAGTATCCACATTGTACCGGGTAAACCAAACATGTCAACCAAAAATCTAAATAAAAAGGGAACAATATATTATAATTTTGTGCACATATAGAATACATGTATACATATTTATATCACTATGTGAGTAGAGCTTTAACTTCCATTTTTAAATGTCGAGGAAATCGCTCCATACTTTTACAAACCCATAGTTTGCATAGTTTTGGACGAAATGGCCGAAACACAGCATAATATTCGTGTGGACGTATAGCACTTATATTAACAATGCATTTATTTTAAAGAAGCATTGCTCCAGATTTATAATGGTTAGCAGAAAGCCTATAGATTTATGCTCATTTTAATGAAAAATTTGAAAATGTATTTTAAAGAAAAATATTGTAAAGTGAACAAAAATAATTGCCAACGGCATACACATTCCGTTTAAATTACCAAAAAAGAGGACAACATATTCAAAATAGCTTCTTACTGCGTTAGTCACGCAGTAGAAATATGATGATAAATATTGCAAAATCAGTCATTATTTACAGTATATGCTAATTATTAATTGAATCTTGAATCTGTTGACTTTTCTTTAAATCTTAGTACATTTTATCCAAGTTTTATCTTCTTGAAATATTTTGGCTCGTCTGGAGGCGTGCAGCTTTAACCAGCTATCCCGCACACAGCAAAATTGTATCTTTTCTAAATGACTAAACTTCTTACGTGAAAAAAATCATCAAAGTTGTTGATAATAAATTTCCTTTTAGATTTCACATCGAGAAATACCCGAAGGGTTAAATAAAGTTGTTTGCAAGTTTCGACGCATTTAAGTTTATTTTTACATTTTGTAACACAGTTAAATGATAAAGTTCATATGTAAAATGAGAATTTGATTTAACATTATAATAATTTCTATTCCTGTTTATATTTAAGTTGTAAAATTCTTTTCTAATACAAATAATTTCTTTCTTCCGTTTTCATAAATGTGTTGAAATCCATATATTAAACATATGTTAACAGTAAAAGGAAGTACACTAGCTGCGAGTTTTTAGACATGTACAAACGTTATATATACAGTTACCAGTCTTTATTGCTGTACATTGAGTGACCTTGCTGAAGTACGCTAAAGAACTTTATTATTTAAAAGATGTTAGACATGTTATAGGCATTCTATAAACTGTTATATGGCAAGAACACGTTTGTACATGTCCATATAACCTGCAAATCTATAAACTACTCATTATATGCATAGTTTAAACTGTAATATGGCAAAAACACGTTTGTATATGCCCATATGACCTGCAAATCTATAAACTACTCATTATATGCATAGTATAAACTGTTATATGGCAAAAACACGTTTGCACATGCCCATATAACCTGCAAAATTTATGACACTGCTCATTATCTTTCTTTAATTTAATTAAATTAAAAATTTATACATTATTTACATGACGGTGTCTGTTCCATATGACTTTTTGTAATTTGGACAGAAAACCACTACAAAAGACGATCCAGATTTTTGTTACAATATTGAAACTGCTTGATTGTCTGTTTGGGCAAACAAATGGTTTCACTTTCTGTAAAAATACTGCCCCCTCCCCTCCAGCCGTGCATATAGATAATATAAACATCACGATTGGTCACGATTGGTCACGATTGGTCAATAAAAGTCGTTTAAACCGTGCAGTATCATAAATCCATTTGGTCTCTCAAAGCAAGTATTTTTGGCGCAGTCTTACTGATTAATAAATACCTTTGCATGGAATATACTTTGCATGGAATATAGTGACAGGTTTAGACAGGTTGCGTTTATGTGGCATTTATTCAAAGAAGGACATTAGCACAAGTTTGACTGTAAACACACGTGTATCACGTGTTGATTAAGCATATGATGGGTTAGAATTTATTTGTAACCTACCTGTATATAAATGGATGCGTTAAAGCACCTACACCACTACCAGACACCATTATACCATTAGCAAGAGCCCTGTGATTATCGAAGTAATAACTTATTATAGTGGAAGTAGGGGCAAAAACTAAACCATATCCGACACCTGAAAGTTTCAATATCCTTGTTTTGTTTGATATGCGGAAAACCTGATATGTACACTATGCAAATTAAATCCAACATGTCTTCAACATCAAAGTAACTACAATTATTCGTCGTTATTAAAGAAAGTTAAGAAAGCAATAGTTTATTTTTAAACAAGTCTTGTTCAGGCAAACTTCAGTTTTTACGTTTCCTTTCATTTCAGTTTGATTGAACTTGGTCATTTTTTACTAAGTTTTGTAAAAGATCGATTCACTTGCCGATAATAACATTTATAAGCCTATGTTGCCACTCTCTCCAGAGAATCCTGCCGGAGACTTTGAACTTTTACATGTGAGGAAGCTATCCAGTTACCTTACGGAAGTCCGATGGTTCTACTCAATTGCCTGTTAGTGCCTGAAATAAGGCGTGGGAAACCTGAGGTATTCCTCCAGGAATAAAGCTTGAAAGTTGTCATTTGACCTTTACAGTGTTGGTTCAACATTTAACCCAACAAATAAAAATCTTAACATTACCTCCAACAATCCCAAGTGTAAGGTACAACAACTCCATCTGGGGCACAAATCCAGACATGAAATACCCTATACCCAACAACACACCTCCAATAAAGCAAATTTTCCGAAACGAATAGATCTTACTCAATAGATTTGAAACTGGTGCTGGAAAAAACAAACAACAGAATAAAACAATCAATTTTTGTATGAAGTATTGCAAGTGTGTTAAGTGGATTTGTTGTCATATGGTTTCCTTTCTCTCACATAAACAAAACCGTGGGTTCAAGCCCGACTTTGATAAGTCAAAACCATTGGTTTAATTTTGACACCAAGGCTGTTGCGCAATCTGATTAAAATCAGCTTGAAATAACGCTAAATGTAAAAAATAAGAAGATCTCTGAACTTTTGTCAGATTGTGGATTTCAAACAAAGAAATTTATTTTAATTTGAAATGAAATGAAAATGTATTCTTACCCATTCCGAGCATAATAAATAAAATAAGGCTTCCTATCCATGCAGTACTGCCAGAACCCGTGTCATAGTACGACACCATTTCCGTGTATAAAATCCCGTAAGACTTTATTGTCCCGATGATTAGCCAGTAAATAATAAAACATCCTGGAAAGTTTAAATTGAAATTTGTAATAAGGTATAACTTAATGTAATTTCCTATAACAATGGAACAATTAAAGGAACTCCACTGAGTTCCAAAAGTCTAAAACATAGAATTCTAATTTCTCCCTTAGATTAGCTGCGGCACTTAAAACAGAAAGATTTCCGCAGGATTATAACTAAAATACACAAAAATACATTGAAAATCGTATTTTGAGCTATTCTCGTCCCAAATTGAGTGAAAGGCGTTACAACGCTTTTAAATTTTGAATGATTTTTCATTTTTCAAAATAAGAATCATTATTCTGGAAAAATTGAATGAGCAAAAGACTTGGAATTGTGAACTAGAACTATATCAGATGGTACATTAATCTCAAAGAATTATTTCTAGTCCCGTCATGTTAAAACACCTCAGTGGAGTCCCTTTAATAACTGATTGATAATATTTATATGAATATACTTTTTTTTAAATCGTAAAGTTTTTTCTCTCTTTATATTAAACTTGTGATTAAAGTGAATCGATCCTTAAAGTGACATTATGTCCATCAAAATGTATATATCATACATGATGAGAGTGCAGGTAAAAGTCAAGATAAAATTTACATTTTGCCATATTTGTTTCGAATTTCATATTCTACTTTTAATGAGTATCTAAAAACTCACGTGACACACGGGAATTTCTATAAATAGCCTTCAGAATTTATCGGCAACGCTCACGTGATAAAAAGAGTAGGACAGTCTTTTAATATCTTAGGCAGTCTTTATATTATATCCTAAACATTTCTTTTTATTCAGTCTTCATCAAAACAGTCACTCAACTTGGAAACGAAACATGAGCCAAGTCACTTTAATGGAAGATCGGTTACATTGTAAATAGCTTATTGTATCGCACATGGCCACATGAGTTATTTGAGCCGTGTCATGACAAAACCAACATAGTGCGTTTGCGACCAGCATGGATCCAGACCAGCCTGCGCATCCGCGCAGTCTGATCAGGATCCATGCTGTTCGCTTACAAACACTATAACAAGTAGAGAAACTGATAGCGAACAGCATGGATCCTGATCAGACTGCGCGGATGCGCAGGCTGGTCTGGATCCATGCTGGTCGCAAACGCACTATGTTGGTTTTGTCGTGACGCGGCTCATATATCGTTCATGCGAAGTAAATTTAAAGATTGAAAGGACATGAGGTAAAATGTAAACTTGTTTCACTTTTACATGTTCACCCACTATACAACCTAGGACGAACCCTATGTCACTGAAATTGTTCAAAATCAAGTTATTATTGTTCATCATATAAATGTTCATACTAAATCATTTAGAACTTTAATCATTTTTGTTCAAGAAATATTTTAAAGAAAGATATAAATAATACATTTCTATTTTTGTTTTCAATATTAGAACTACTTACGGAAAATGTTCACATTGCAGACAAATCCACTTTAATTAATTAATTTTAGACACCATTCAGATATTTTGATATAAAATTATTCATACATATTCATACATATTTAGACCTACATTATGTGTAAATAGAGAGAAACCTCAGTTAAAAATAGTTGTAACTCCATTGTTCAAAACATTTAAAGGCTTTTACATAGTTTACATTTACATAATGTACATACTTTAATTACATGTCTTTGGGTTCAATCGTAACTATACAAGTAACATCATTTCGCCACATAAAATGTAAAATTGTGATTGCATTGATTTTAATTTTATACAAATGCATTCACTTGAAAGTGACAGTATGCTCTTTTTTCACTTTCAAGTTAAACTGAACTGCTTATTGGCGTCCGCGCCGAAGCGCGACGCCCCTTATGGAATGACAAAGGGCAATTGCAACTTCTCGGGCGTTTTCGTCTGGCATAACAGCCGATCATTCCGATAGGTATGAGGAAGATATGTATAATGAATAGCGAACTGGAGAATTTCGCAATGCAAACATATTTAAATGAAATTATCTTATCCGTCAATTAATCGCGCTTTTCTGTTTTTTATTATTAATCATGTGGGTTATTATGTATGTTACTGCTGTACCTATAAATAGAATGATGACCTTAACATTGTGAAAGTATAGAAGTAGTTGTAGTTTAATGAAAGGGTCATTCGTGTTGCGCTATGACTGGAGAATTTTTTCAAAAACATATTCAAACAATTAATTGCACTCTTTATAAATCTATAGTAAAAAATTAAGTTGGCCATTTTTACGAATTGTAGTATCATAGAAATTGTCTTTTCCGTAGGTCTCTCAGGTTTTCTTTTTTACGGCCCTGATTGCACCGTGAATATTTAAATAGACCTAGTTCATAACTTTAAATGTCGCTTTTATTTTGGTTAACAGGTCTAGCAGTAGTATACTATAAAACCTATCCGCTGTTCAAGTCTTGTGAAGGGTAGTATGAGTGGAATATTCATTTGCCGAATATTGTGACATTTTAACAACAGAAACTTTCGTCTGCAATTTTAACACGAGTTGTTATGGGTTTATTGATAGGAATGTAAACACTCAGGTGGGTCAGACGAGGTTTTTGAAGTAATTCATTAAAATAGTAGATTGACCTCCCAATAAATCAATTAACAGACTTTGTTCATTTTGACTACTATTTTTTATGTTCCAAAGAAAATACCACATGAACTTGAAATTCTAACAAATAACCAATATAAATGATAATATCCAAAAATACCCTCTTTATAATATAAATAAACTTATACCATATAGGAGGGTATATTTTGGATATTATAGACCTGTATATATATTTTGGATATTATCATTAATATTGATAGAATTTGAAGTTCCTGTGGAGAAAACATTCAATATTTAGCATGCCTACCAAAGTTCATGATGAACAATGTTTTTTGTCTGCCCATTCATAAATGATATACAATTCTGGTAAAAACCAATTAACCATTGAAAAGTCTGGTCATCAGATGTCTTTCATTTAGTAGTTCATTTTCACTTGCTGCATTTCTTGCTTGGACGCCCTTTGATGCTTTGCATCAATGCTTTTCTTGTTGATTGTTATAATTGTGTCAATATTGACCAACTGTGGATACTGGTAAATGTTTGGGATAAAATATAAATCTGCCTAAGATATAAAAAGACTGCCCCATTCTTTTATAATTTGAATGTTAAAGGAAAATTCCCATACACATTTACAGAAATTTCATTGAGCCATGTAAGTTATTTATCATTCATGCCAAATAAATTAATAAATTGAATGGAATTATGACAAAATGAAAGCTTATTTAGACTTTCACCTTTTTATTCAATATAATTATACTCTAGGATGGGCATAATGTAACTGTAAAAGAAATGTATACGAGCGCCCTGTTGCTGCTTCCAACTAAGGTTCATTACGACCTAACATTTCAAAGCTGTACTTCACTATAATAAAATGACTTAATATTACGATGAAATATATTCAGGCTACTTTTGTTCTAACATCTGTTTTACCTATACTTAGTACGAAATCGTTTTATTCATCAGTTGTATTATTTATTGTGTGTTTAAGTATATAATGATTTACCTGCAAGTATTACCCAGGCATGTCCCTGATCAACATCGGGTCCAGTCAATTTATCGTCTTCAACGACCTTGAACTTTTTGTCCTTCATCTTAAACCACTTTAAAATAACCATATATTTTGTTAAATCAAGTTCAAGGTTAAAGTTACCTTAAACTATATAATTAAATTCATTTGATGTACAGCTATTGATTGGCTTAACACGTAATGTATTTTCTAAACGGCAAATATCTGTTATTTTGCAATAAATATGTTCCTTGTATGAAGTTATTTATTCTTGCATATACATGTATAGTACAATAGGAAGAATATCAATATGCTTAACAAGTAACAATTTATATACATGTACGAATTTATAAAATGCGATTTTACATTTATGAAAACAAATTTGTGAAGTCATTATTGAATTACTTAATTGTAACTTTAAACTGATAAAAATATTGCACGACTATTGTTTCACAAAAACGTGACATAAATGCAATCTGTTTTCAGTTTACTAATTAACAATAATGAAAGCTATACTAAATCAGATGGTAAATCACGACTGAAAAAAAACAACAAAAAACATATAAATATCTTACTTTTTCTCATTTTCTCAATAATTGGATTTCAAGCAAACCTAACTGTGTATACTCCATTTTGCATAATAATGAAGTTAACAAACTGTTTTGAGAGGTAAAATACTGAAAACTATGTATATAGTATTTTATGTTTATATTTAACATGAAATCGGAAACCTTCCTGTATTTGTTAAAAAGGTGTACTGTCAAGTCTATCAACTGTGACGAGACGTAAAACATATAACACGGACTTTGTGGTGATGCAGTTTCTTGCATTTATAATAAAACACTGACTGAGTTTTCATATCATATAAAAGCAAAGCAAAACAAAATATAATTGAAAGAAACGCACAAGCACTTTGATGAGCTGCGCCGAAAGTAAATGCAAGTCTTCTTTTTTCGTAAACATTTCAAAATAAAAATGTATTTTAAGAAAAAAACAAAATAATTTTATATGAAGGTTTAGTTGTTTTTTCTACGGCATTCTTTTTGTCCGATGTTACGACAAAATAAATTGTCAATGTATCTTCCAACAGTTACATAAGTAATATATAAGTACAAACTTTAATTTTACCTACTCTGCCTTACCAATTTTGAAGATCACAAAACATTTAACATATTTTATGCATCAAAAGAATGATGATCTAGATTTACTGCAGTAAGTGATAGTTTCTTTTTTGTCAAAATAATAGCCCCACCTTGAGACCGAGGGGTTGCCTGACATTTGAATTGCAGCTGCGTGATCGGAAGAGGCGCCTAAATGGAGTGCATGCATCTCTTAGCTCCAGCAGGTGTAGTGGTTTTGACCCCTGTTGTTGCTTTAAGTTTGTAACACCCGAAGTTAGTTGAAATCATTTGTCCGGTTTTCGTCCCCATATGACCTAAATTGTGTTGGTGCGACGTTAGCCCAAAGCACACAATTTATTGGGCTAGTGCGACGTAAAACCAACAAAAAAAAAAAAACAACAACCAAAAAAAGAAAAAACAATAAAAAAACCCAAACAAACAAACAATGCAATAGCATGTATATGTTTATATGTATGGTATAAAATTCTTTATCGGCATCAAGTCCCCCTGTTCAATCACTCTTTTATGATAATTTGTATTATTTTGCAAATAGTGTAATAAAGTGGTTTCCGAAAATGCTAAAAATAACAGAGCTTGTAACTACTTTCGTTTTGGTCACATAAACCCGGATGTGAGTTTATGATTGCATCAATAAATGAATCATTTGGGATAATACGAGTAGTCATGTGAAATAAAACATCCTAAAGTTTTATTTATCTTTAAAGGCAGTATAACTCACCGGAGGAGGTATGTGAAAGTTTTGACTGATTGATATAATTAAAACGCTCGTTGCTCAATGAAAATATGATTGTGCATGTATATATGAAAATATTCACAAGTGTCTCTACAAACATGCAGTAATTAAGCTTTAAGTTTAAAAGCATGTTATTTGAAGCGTTTGAAGCGTTTTGCTGTTTACATTTTGCTATGTGGGATAATTATAATTATTTCATTAGTGACTGTGTTCAGCCAAGCATGTATTAAACAAGTAGTATGGATAATGATGAGATATTTGTGCAGTTTTCATTTTTGTTCAAAAACGTACAAGTTGAAGTGCATTAATTAGATTCTTTTTTTTATTCAAAATAGTTATTAGATATAACCAGAAATCTTTTGCGTGTAGTAATAAAAATACATTTCCGTTTTTTTCTGTTTGAAATGAAGAATGAATCGAGTTACTTGTGTAAACTTCCACATATTTACGGGCTCATATTTCACGGTAAGAAAGGGAATTCAAATATTCGTACATTTTTGCGACATCTACGACCGGATTACAATTAAGTTAATTAATCTTTTAAAAGTTTGCCTTAATTACATTGCTCACTGGCCATTCACACAAATTTGCACTTTATGCTGCAATACTCTCTAATTCTTAATTATGCAATACTATATTTAAATCAAAAAATGAATTCAACCACATTTTTCATTCTCAGAAGCCATTGTTCAGGCAAAGTTGAAGATATTGTAGTAAAAGATGCTGAAATATTCGACATTAGTTTTCGTTGTGTACCTATTGCAAAACAATTTGGTGTCCGGAGAATCGTTGTCAAGTTTCTTATGGAAAAAGACACAAAAATATCAGACGGCTGCGCTGGATTCAAACTACATACATGGAATCCGTGATGTCTCCTTGGACCCAACAGACTTTGGTATGCAGTAAACACGCGTATTTTAAGTTCCTTTCTTCACCCAATACTGCTTATACATTTAAATCTATAAATGGTAACTGGAAAGCCTTCTTTTGAATAAAAATGCTCAGAGAAATACGAAAGTACAAGTTTTACTATATTAAGTGTTTGAATGCCCTGGTCGTCAATGTGTTAAGATAGCCTTATCGGCATTGCAAATTTCAAAAGTGTATGGTTTTGCATATAAAAATGTTTAAGTCTGTTTAAACCGGTTCTGGGGGGGGGGGGGGGGGGGGGGGTGTACAATTGCTTACACTTCCAAGTACCGGCCATTAACAGGCTCAATCAAACCGAGTCTACAACAATTTTTATTTATTATTATTTCTGTTTTGCCGTTTTGATGTTTTTTAACGGAATTTTTTATTCTCTTTCAAACCAAGTATTTAAAAGATGATTGTGAAATAATTACATATGCCATCAACTTATTAAACAATGTTCTTATTTCAAACACCACAGGAGCTTACAATTTACAAGATGCTGTATATATTTATTGGTACAAAGTTAGCATGGATATCAGTGCTAGCAGAACAAATGATACCACCCTGAAAGAGTTCTTGCAAAAGAAATCTAAAAGTCATGAACAGTAAGTTAATTTCAACGATAATCTGTATTATTTGTATTCTCTTGTGGTAACAAGTATATATCTTTAAGGCATATACATTTACAAGACAATCTGAAATATATTATTAATATCATAAATCACGTTGTTGCATTGCAGTATTTTCAGGTTTTGCTCATAAAATTATTTGCTTATCAATATGGGTTTGCAGAGGGAAGATACACGAATATCTAATGTTTGCTTCTTTTAAATACAATGCCTCTGTTATCTATAAAAACAACACTAATCAAATTGTTAATAGTTCAACAAGGAATAGGTTAGCCGAAATACAACAAATCCTGTTTGTTATTAAGGGAATACAAAGAAGCATTTAAGACATGGCATATCAGTGACCCACCACGTGGAATTGTCCTTGGGAGTGCCTGTCAGAACTATGTCAATCATCTGATCAACGTATCGAAGACCATGGATGGATTTTACCTCGTGGCTGCCCTTATTCCGTGTTCAAGGCTTTGGCCTTGGCTTGGCATACAAATCAACTCAGATTCCGTAAGTTTTAATCAGCTAAATTATAATCTACATTTGTACTTGTTTTATATAATCTATATATAGTTTTGAAATGCATTTCTGAGGTTACTGAAATCTATATTTATTTTCCTAAAAATAAAAACAGTTCTTTTAGTAATTCATCAATGTACTTGAATTATTCTTGCATAAGGAATTAAGCTTATAAATACATATATACAGGTATATGGTATCTGATTTTGTCACCAACTGTTGGCATTTTTTCATGGCAGAATTGCTCAAAAACGTATCTCAGAATCAGTCAATGAGTTATATAAAAGCTACAAATGTTTGCAATAACAGGGAACAGATACGGGAGTTTTAGCTGGTGAATATGTCATATGTACTAAAACATACATTTGAAATTGGTTACAGTCAATAACATTTTTGCAATATACATGTACAAATGTATATCACCTTTGTATAATGTTTGTGTATTTTTATTCATTAACTTGCACCATACACATTAATTATGAAAACATATACTACTATTTATTATCAAATTTGAATGTACATTTAAGGGAAAGTTTGGTGTTTACAACAACTGGGTGCAGGTCAACTTAAACCAGTCTTATGTCGGCTACACAACCTATGAAAAGATTATCGATGATGCTTTTGCCCAAGGCAAGATCAACAAAGAGAAAGCGCTGCAAGCTTACGAAGAAAGCATGAAGGGAGAAGTGGACTTCTTCAACTCTGTGTAACGTTTATATGTTTCATAATAATAAAATCAAATATTATTCACATGTTTAGCAACTAAACACATTAACCTGACAAAAGTAAGGTTAAATAACACTCAAGTTTCACGAGGTTCTCAAAAGACAAATGACACACATTTTTATTATCTATAAGAATGAAAGCAAAGAGCCTCCAAACTGTATTGCATCTAAACAAGCAACAATGATTGAAAACGCTAAAACTAAAAACACCTTAACTGTAGCGAATCGTTATACACTATCATATGCTGTCATAGTCTGAACCTATTACTTTAGATGAAATGAACTTTACATACAACGTACGTAAACCATGATAACTTGAAAAAGATATTTGACTCAACTATACAGGTTTTAATTGTTAACAATAAACACATAACAGCTCATTGACACACTCGTGCATAAGATGCTGTGTAAGTCTCGAGTTGTTCTTTAGGATTTTCAGATGTCTGAATTATGATCGTTCAAGTTACTTACGTCCAAAATGATCGAGTTTTAAAAAAAATAATTTGATGTAAGGTGTTTATGCATGTTCACGTTACATTTTACAAGATGATAGATTAAACGTTTGAAAAGTACACAAGGCAGATATTTGTGCTTGGAGGTTTGTGCTTGCTCCTCAGACTGTCTTAGGCTTAAACGTTTGAAAAGTACACAAGACAGATATTTGTGCTTGGAGGTTTGTGCTTGCTCCTCAGACTGTCTTAGGCTTAAACGTTTGAAAAGTACACAAGACAGATATTTGTGCTTGGAGGTTTGGGCTGGCTCCTCAGACTGTCTTAGGCTCATCAGACTTTAAGCTCATGGTCCTCTAAATGTAATTGTTACTTGATGACAATAGTTTTATTAATATGTCCTTGATGTTTTAGTCATGTCTCTTTTTGTCTGTAGGCACCTCAGACTGTCTCTAGGCTCCTCATGCTGTCTTAAGGCTTGAGGCTCCTCATACTGTCTAAGGCTCATCAGACTTTAACCCCAGGGACCTCTAAATGCAATTGTTACTTGATGACAATAGTTTTATTAGTATGTCCTTGATTTTTAAATCATGTCTCCATTTGTCTTTCGGCTAATAAGACTGTCTGTAGGCACCTCTGACTGTCTTTAGGCTTATTAGACTGTATGTAGGCACCTCAGACTGTCTTTAGGCTAATCAGACTGTCTGTAGGCACCTTAGACTGTCTTAAGGCTTATCAGACTGTTTTTAGGCTCTCAGGCTGTCTTAAGGCTTAGGGCTCCTCATACTGTCTTAGGCTTATCAGTCTTTAAGCTAAAGGTCCTCAAAATGCAATTGTTACTTGAAGACAATAGTTGTATTAGTATGTCCTTGATTTTTAAGTCATGTCTCTTTTTTCAGATCTAGACATTAAAAGTATGGTGTCGTCAATGTTACTTTGAAAGAAGAAAGCATCAACTTGTAAATTATGAATGCGGTGTCTGTAGAAACCTCAGACTGTCTTTAGGTACCTCAGACTGTCTTTAGGCTCTCAGGCTGTCTTAAGGCCTTAGGCTCTTCATACTGTCTAAAGCTTATCAGACTTTAAGCTCAGGGCCCTCTAAATGCAATTGTTACTTGATGAAAATAGTTTAATGAGTATGTCCTTGAGTTTTAAGTCATGTCTATTTTTGTCTGTAGGCTCCTCAGACTGTCTGTAGGCACCTCAGACTGTCTTTAGGCTAATTACACTGTCTGTAGGCACCAAGCTGTCTTTTGGCTTATCAGACTGTCTGTAGGCACCTCAGACTGTCTTTAGGCTAATCAGACTGTCTCTAGGCTCCTCTGGCTGTCTTTAGGCTAATCAGACTGTCTCTTGGCTCCTCAGGCTGTCTTAAGGCTCCTCAGAGAGTCTTTAGGCTCCTCATACTTTAAGCTCTGGGTCCTCTTAGTGCAATTGTTACTTGATAACAATAGCTTTATTAGTATGTCTTTGATTTTTATGTCATGTCTCTTTTTTCAGATCTAGACATTAAAAGTATGGTGTCGTCAATGTTACTTTGAAAGAAGAAAGCATCAACTTGTAAATTATGAAATGCGGTGAACAAATGACAACATTGCCAGGACCTATGTTAGCGTCATTTTGATAATAACATCCTTTTACACTTTTATATAGAGTTATGTTTTCAATTTTATGCTGTTAGTTTTAACATGTTAACTTAGTTTCACCAATTGGTGAGTTTATTTACTGTCATTCTTTACCATTTGTACTTTTTGCTTAATTCTGTATATTCTATATTATTATCTTTGTACTTTTTATTGCCAATGCATGTATATATGAACTACTTTATACATTTTATATACTTATCTCTATGATATACAGTTTGGGACTGCATATGCAAAGAATTTACAACAATTGTTTGGAATATTTTGGAAGTGATTTTTTGACATGACTGCTTATATTGTTAAATTTTTGTGTATAATTTAATGTCTACGGAAATGCTCCAATCGGACTTGTTACTGCACAAAAACAATGATTTTTCATTTCGAGTATATTTCTATATCATTCTTAGCAGATTTTTCCGTTTGAAAGTTATTCGTTTCCGTGTTAATCTGTGTAACGAATTTTGAATGTTATGCTTGAGGCTCACGGACCTCAGTGGATTTCCTATAATACTTGTCAATGAAGATATGTTGTTAATTCAATGAAAACTTTGCTTGTATATATCGTATTCAAAAAGTTTCTGTTTTTTAAGCATTATATTATATAAAGTTTGAATCTGTACTAATTAATGTATCATTAAAATTCTTAAAAAACAAACAAAATATATGACTTAAGCAAAAAATTTATATCCATGCATTTAGCCTTATTGTTCTCAACATATTTTCTAAATAATTTCAAGGTCTTGCGAGTCTTCTTGTCCAATTCGGTAACTATCCATATATCCATTATCCCATTTCACGATTGCCCACCCACTCTGATTGAATCCTATGACCTTGCCTGGTCGCCCACCGTCCTGAAAATATATCGATATTAACTTTATTGACAATCGATATTTTTATGTACATTATGTATAACTTACGATGATTGAACAAGTTAAGCAAATTATTACCTTTACAAAAAAAACAACAACATTTATTTAATAGATAATACAGCTCATTTCAATCATTTACATGTACATATTACCAATATATATTACCTGGTTCGAGCTTTTACAGTCAGGGCCTCGACGAACTCGCACACCAACACCAAAATGTTTCTGTTTCTGTTCTGAATGTTCTGGAAATGAAAACCAACCAATTATAATCTTATGCAACAATTTAACAAAAGTATTTCAAATTCCGCTCATAATGTTGATGACAATTGTAGAAGATTTGGCTGATTTATATCAATGCAAAAGTCTGTGTGTATAAGATCAATATTTAAAACAAACATATGAATTTTGTCCATAAAATAGCCATTTACAATTTTTCTAAATCTTGTCTGTATTTCCGCTTATATTTTGTTCATGCTTTAATGTTGAAAACACGTACAAACCCTCAATTAAATTCCGACCGTTTTCATTTTCATGTCAATTTACTGCATTTTGCATGGTTCATTGTTTATAAGTTATCCTCAATATCAGTCTGTTGGTTCAAAAATATGTTGATACTTTCTAGTTTTAATTCCATGAAACGATATTAATATTGAATTAAAGAACATGTCAACTAAAATTAGCATACACATTAACTTTAAATAACACATTGATGAGGTGGATTTTAGCCCTTCAATATCTCAGAATTGTTTTGGTATTGTTTTGCTTTATGATTTACAGTGATCGTTCCATTTTACTTGATCAATTTTAGATTGATACTGCATTGACGATATTCAAAGGAAACGAAACTTCATATAATTACCGTCATCCCCAAAGGTTGATATTAAATTAGACATATAAACATTTATTTTCTTTGTTTGATTGGGTTTTACGTCACACCGACACAGTATTATTTTAAATTGCAAAGTGTCATCAAGGGAATTGACTTGAATCATTTGATTACTATACTTATTGTTATAACCACGGTCAATTAAGAATGTCATTTGAAAAGTATTGTGATTATGATGTATATATATTTTGTAAAGCTGCAAAAATACCTTGAAAGGAAAGTTTAGCCTATTTTCTATAACATGTTACCATTGCAACCATGAAAACTGATGGAAACTTCAATGTATTTTCAAACATCACATGTTTGTATTTATTTCAGAGAAAACAAGATAGTCTACAACGTGGAAAAAAACAATAAATTGGTAAATCAATCATAATAAATAGATTTCAATTTTAGAGATGTAAATTTTAGCTGAATTTAATTATATCCCACCCGTTTAAAATCATAATGCGTCCATAGGAGAAGTGTCAATAAACATAAAAATTGTCATAAATGATAAGAGTTGAAGTCGTATTTTTGCACACAAGTACAATATGGAAATAAAAATTGAAATATGTTGTCATGGAAATGAAAATTTATATCAAATATAATTTTTAGGTCATTTTTTTTATACATTTTCCATGATATTCTTTCAAATATTTTACATTTCTCCCATAAAAATGATAAAAAAGAACAATTTATGTACAGTAAACATGTATTTTATATTATATTTATGTGTGAAGACAAAGGATGTCTAAGAAATTCTTGAAAACATTGGGAAAATAATGATAATTACTGTTTTTGCGGAATTTTGGCGGCCATCTTGGACGCCATCTTGGATTTCTTGATTGTCCGACCATTTGGGTTAAAATGTAATACCGTTTCGTATTCTGCGAACCCTTGTGAACATTTTGGTATATAAAACTTATGGTCCTAGACATAGACTGGTTGACCCCCACAAAATATGCATGATTTACTAGTTCATTTCCTACACTATTATATAATTATGTTACAAAGACCGCACTAAAACCAAAAATCCATTGAAAGGAAATCATCGAAATAGAGTCATTTTTAATAAAATAGTATATGAGCCAAGCCATGACAAAACCAACATAATGGGATTGCGACCAACATGGGTCCAGACCAGCTTGCGCATCCGCGCAGTCTGATCAGGATCCATGCTGTTCATTATTAGTTTCTCTAATCGTTATAGGGTTTGTAAGCGAACAGCATGGATCTTGATCAGACTGCGCGGATGCGCAGGCTGGTCTGGATCCATGCTGGTCGCAATCCCATTATGTTGGTTTTGTCATGGCTTGGCTCATATGTTTCACAAATGTGTTTCAAAACGTTTTATCGTCGTTATGATTAAACATAATTACACTAATTTGAATCGTTGAACTCTTTCACTGACTAATTGTATGACAGATTAGTGTAGTCTGAAATAAATGTAATCAGATATTTTAATTGAGCAACATTGATTAATAGAATCGTACGATATCATAGAAAGAAACTAGAAAACAGATATACTTATGTCTCGTTGATGGGGAATCCTTCTTGCATTTATCTTCAGTCTTCCTAATGGATCTGTAAATTTCAGAAGCCATGTCATATGTTCATTACGGACAAACTTGAATCCTTTCAGAGCGTTTTCTTTTGTTGTGTTTTCAAACATCGTTTCTATGTCGTCAAGACTAGACTTACAATTTACTGCATCTATAAATAATGCATCCCGCGATGTAACTGCATGGTGTTGAGCATCTGTTTCATCTTAACAAGCTCTAAAGTTAGCGAGTAAAAACACTTTTCAAGGTTTTTCCGAGTATCTGTGTTTTCCTCTCTCAGTTTCTTTATTTTTCATAGGATTTTAGTCTCTCCTTCATCTAAACATTTATTTATCTCCTTTCTTAATTCACGGATTTCTTTAATAGTTTTTTTCATACATCTTTTCAACTTCGTCTCCACTCTTTCCAAGTCGGTGTTCATAAGTTGTTATCTTTTTTTCAATGTCTTCAACTCGTTTCGCAGCTGTTTTATATATATTTCCCTCTTTAAATGTTTTCGACAAGTCGTTGATATATTCAGGTTTGCAGGTTGTATGCTCTAATATTATACCATCTCCACATCCGACGGCAACATGTGAACGGCAATAAAATTTGATGATTTCATTCTTGTGTTTTTCATATCTGGTGACATCTCCAGATACACTTCCTAGTGAAAGGTTTGAAAACTCTTCAGGAGAAAGCAACACGTGGTTTCTTGTATGTTTTCTTTTTGATTGATGACGGAAGCGTGTGGTACACATATATTCCTTGCATTCCCGGCATGTCCCATTGGCGGATGTTATCGAGCATTCAACTTCGCAAGGTTAACAATACAAAATAGATTTCTTTTCTTTCCTTCCTGTAACTTCTATTTTTTGTTGTTTTTTTTCCTCAAAAAACTGAGGCTCATTTAACAGTTAAAATGACGTTTTCAACAGATAAATGTTTAACAAAACCATGTGATTAAAGTCCATTCTTTGTAGATAACTTCAACTTTATCATATATCAATGATAACCTTATCTGAAAACAATATCCTTTTGAAGTCGTGAATTCCGTATTTTGAAATCGGGAATTCAATAAGTTGAAATGTCCCTTTGGTCGATCGTAAAATATTGCCCTTACTGCGTTAGTCACGCAGTAAAACTAGGATGATAAATACTGCATAATCAGTCGTTTATCATGCATGTAAATTATTACATGAAATTTGGCATGAAACTTTAAGGATGAAAGGACTCTATTTTACTCCACAAAAATTCCAAATAAGTGTGTATTTTGTTTTTAATATTGAACAACTTGTGCATGAACAACATATTTTGCTTCGTTTATAAAATTCTTCGTTTTTCGCATCCTACTGTTTTATTACATTATCATAAAAGGTAAAGAGTCCTGTACATGCCGTACATACATGTATATTACAGTAAAATGAACATTTCACAGTGACTATCTATTAAGTATCTGCTTCCTTTGCATTGATTCAAAACTTTATCAGAAATGATTGAGGATTTAAATCCAAATTTTGTAGTTCACAAATAATTTATTACATGGAATAACTGGGAATTTGAAGTAGTTTCATGAAAACTCTAGTCATATGTGCAAAAAAATAACTGATACGTAAAATATATTTTTCCTACATAATGAATGTTTTCATTTGTGGACAAAGAAGGGGGGTTGTTAGATTATGGTAATGGTTTGTAGTTGGGGTGGTGGATAAAATAATGTTTGGATGACAAACGAATTATTGTGATATTGAACATGGAAAACTGTAATGAACAAGCGTATATGACATATATCATTTTTTTCGTAATGCTAATTTCCCATAGGCCTCTGGGAGTTATTTTTACTGTTAATGCAAGTGTACCACGTGACTAAGAATTTTACAAGTACTGTTACATAGGTAACAGTATTTTTTAACAGTATAAAATCTGGTCACGTGGTCTATTTTCTAAATAAAATGAAATAAAATGGCCGCCATTTTTTTCTCGATTCATTCTTATTTTCGACGTTAAACCCCGATAGGACATCAATTTCTTCTCTGGAGTAACTATGACACTCATAAAATTTAGTTGTTCGCATCCTGGTGTGCTTTTCGCGTATAAAATATCTTTTTGTTGAATAGTCAAAAAGTGAACATCCGTTTTCAACGGAAGTATTTGCAATGTAAATAATCATGTGTCAAACTGGAGCATGCAGACGATTTAAGCATGCAACAAAGGATTGTTTAACGATTTTAATCAGTTAAACGTTACAGATATGGTGGACATACATAGGATATCATCGTTATTTTGTCAAAAACCATGCCAAGAATATTCTGGAAACAGAAGGATCAGATTTCACAGATCATAACCGTGTAAATGGGTTAGTGTTTTGGTTTCTAAAAAAACCTAGCTTATTGTATGTTTATGATTTGTAGATATCATCACTTGCTTAAAGAATAAAAGAAAAAGAAAACTTCTCAAGTAGGCCTCAAGTACACTTAAAACTTAAAAGGTAAGGACAGTTTAGTTATTGTTACTCTTGGTTTATTTTTGTTACAGTTAGATTTAGTTTACAATTTCCGATCATCACAGTATTTTTGTTCGGGGTAATAAAATAAATAACACATGGGTTTGTGAGTAACAGTATAAATATCATCCCTCGTAAAAATACTGTTACCCTCAGCTACGCCTCGGGTAACAGTATTTTCCTCGGGATGATATTTTTACTGTTACCCACAAACCCATGAGTTATTTATATACTAGTATGACAGAGAGCATTTTATTTCTATTAAAACACACTTCTCTTCATTTTGTTTCCCCAGACAAATACAAATAATGTCGAAAGTCATGAAATAAGCGACCTCTGACATAAAACTTTGATGGATTATACACACGTGAAGTATATTTGAACATTGATGAAAACGGAAAAGAACAGCGTTAACGTAAAGCATAGCTATAGCATCCAAAGAGATAAAAAGGTATGATGATAAATTTCTATCAATGACCCTTTTAAATTATTATACTGGCGTTGTTCGTTTCGTGCTAAGGTTTGTAAAATAAAGACTAAAACTTTTTACATTCGGAACATTTTATTCCATCACATGTCAGTACTAAGACACAAAGATTAATTATGACATTTTGCTTCATTTAAAGACAAAATAAAATCTTGATATCCACAAAATGAGGCTGAAATGATTCGTTCTGTAGTGAGACCATTATGTCCATATACAAATTCAGTGTCAGTCAGCTGTTTTGTAGAATAATATATTCTATTTAGAAAAGTTTTATAAAAATTAATCATACATATTTCTTAGGCATGGTTTTTTGTAACATTCAATGATTCAAACACAATTTTACAAGGTTTAATTTTATCTGTGTTCTTGAATGTACAAACCCTTACTTAATAAACAGTTATATGTCTGTGTGTACATTACATCATTTATATGAATTAATATATACGTATTTAGTGTGTAAATATGCTATCTTTAAATCATTACAAATTGGAAAAATTATACTCATTTTTATTGTGGTGCAAAATGGAAAACATTGATCTAGAATATACTTATTAAATAAAATACAGCAATAAAACGCCAATATGTAGCATTTTCAAAACTATTCGCTTTAAAAATAAGTAATCAAGCAAGACTGTTTATCGTTTTCATTAGCCTTGAGAATACTTGAACATCGCGGTCCAGGAAGGTGAAAGCTTTATAGTAGTTGTTTGTTATTATGTTTGTATATTATACAATATTATTAAGATATAATATTATAAGATGATACCAGAATTATAATAATACTATTATTATAAGAAAGAAAATAATGTATTAGTGCTTTTTAAAATAGTTATGTTTACTGTTTAAATTTGTCGGTTTTTTTCATTTTTTGGTTAGTGTTATTCAATGATTTCGAGATCGTACAAGTTGCCTTGTCCAATACGGTAAAAATAAATTTTTCCATTATCCCACTTCACGTTTGCCCAACCGCTCGATCTAAATCCTATTATTGTGCCTGGTCCCCCACCGTCCTGAAATATAATTTAACCAATAAGAATAGGCATTCTATATATATTTATTCTTATATATTACAATAAGCAAAGCATAATATCTTACGATAATTCAGTAATAAGTGACTAATTATGGAATCAAACTTACATCAACTCGTGTTCAGACAGTACCATTACAGGCAATTCAATGTTAATCTGCATCTAGACAGCGATATGTATGGAAAATTTTAAACACTGTACTGAAATATATACTTATTTAAGTTGGAGAATACTCATCTTCGGACAAACTACCGGATAGAGTATCATAAAATAACTTAAATCATATTTTACACAGGGTAACGCCAATTGATTTTACAGTTACAATTCCTAGATGTACCTTGCTGTCCTGGAGAAGCAAACGTTTTCTTTTGAAGTTACTAAAGAGTGAAAAGGCTTGCAAAACATTTGTTAGATAGCAAATTTAATAGTTATAATGTTATAAGAAGTACTTTTATAGTGTTTTGTTGTTGTTGTTGTTTTCTCTCCTCTCCTCAGAATAGCCTAATAGAATTCGGTGTTCTTTTGGATGCATTTAAATAAATATCATAACAAAAGTATTTACCTGATTTCCATAATAGGGCCCAGTGCGGACCACGGCGTACACGAGAACCAACCACAAACTCTCTTTTTGTAAAACCTTAAAATATACATTCAAATCAATGAAATAGGTTTATAAAAACCATATATTATTAAAATATGATATATCAAAAAAGAAACAAACACTTGAATTGAATCTATGACTTCTATGACTGCTTCGGAAATGTTCTTTACAAATAATGTATAGTATCATTTTAAATAAGGCAACTATTATTCACATCTTGAAACCAATAGGAATGCAAAATTTAGAAGTTTATAATATTATATAGCTTTTTTTCTTTCAGGTATACATATTATTACAATGACATATCGTCGATACAATGACCACTAAATAAAGATTGAAAATGCATTACGGTAATTGAAGGAATTACGCTGATTATACCCTAATTTCCTTAACCGCAACTTTCGGCCTTTTCTGTTGATACTGATAATAGCCGAGGATATTCCGCTCGGTAATTTCCTGCTTTAAAATATAGACTGGCTAGCTCATTGGCACGTTAGTTTATTGGTAAATTATAAAAAAAAAAGATAAAAATAAAAAGAATGTGATATTTAACCATGGAAGTATCACTTTTGTTGAACTCACTTTTTGTAAAACCTTAAAATATACATTCAAATCAATGAAATAGGTTTATACAAACCATATATTATTAAAATATGATACATCAAAAAGAAACAAACACTTGAATTGAATCTATGACTTCTACGACTGCTTCGGAAATGTACTTTACAAATAATGTATTGTATCATTTCCATCTTGAAATAAGGCAACAATTATTCACATCTTGAAATCAATATGATATAGCTTTTTTTCTTTCAGGTATACATATTATTTCAATGACATTTCGATTATAAGCTGTGCAAAAAAAATGCAAATTATCTTATACCGACAACAATAATTTGAGATCAAGTGCTTCAGCTTCGGGTCCACATATGAACCCCTTATATTGGAGAAACATACATACAATCATACAATTATGCATAATCATACAAATACATAAAGAAGATCAGTAAAAAGTAACTAAAAAAGAAAACATGTGATATGATACAGTTTCAAAATTTTCACATTACATTTATAATATAATTTTGAAATGCGATTATATAAATATTCGTTAGGATAACATTGTAATATGGTGGTTTAATAATTATATTATATGATATTTATTAACAGATGATTTTGTGAGATAGTTTTTACATTCATTTATATATTGTTATTTTTTCATCCTTAACGTGTCACTATAGTGCCCCCAGCTAGAAAAAACTAAACGAAAAGTGTATACGAAAACAGATTAGCTCTTCCCGTGGAACAGTCCAAATGTGAAAATTGATGTAATTTGCCGAGTGATCCTGGGACCTGAGCATTTTTAAATGTGTGGCGGCTCATTTTACTGGGTTTTTTTACGAACCGGTACATACTAAATGGCTCAACTCTAGGCCATTCAGCGCGAAATTTTAAGATAATAGTACTCATTATAGTACAACCTGAGTTATTTTGGTATTACGGGATTGGAAATAATTTTTTTATTATGTTTATTTTAAGGTAGGTCTAGAACAATATTTTATTTGCAAAATTACAGATTATTCGACCATTCCTTTATTCCAGAATAATTACTAGTATTCTTATTGTAAAATATTGTTCCAAAATTGAAAACAAAACGGGTTTAGTATATTTACAATTCATTTCTAAGTATATTTCTTAACAATCTTTTGCAAATCTTTCTGTTTTAAGTGCCCTAGCCGATTTATGTAAGAATTAAAATCTGTTCTCAGTGGACTTCATGACCTTCATGGTTTTTATATCTTCTAAGCAATGTAGAATATCAAAATATCAGCTCTTATGAAAAAAGTATATACAATATATATGATCATCGGAAATGGCAATTTAGACAGGCATAATTTATGTAAATTATGTAGAGGTCAACTAGACAATGTTACTTGCAAATATGAAATCTCAAAAAAATGCAGATTTGAATCGAGTTGAGTTTAACAGTTATTTTTTTCATCATGTCTTTGTTTACTAAGTGAAGCACGGATGGGGGTTTTAATCCAAAGGGCTTGGTTAAAGGAACTCCACTGAGGTTTATAAGCCTAAAAACATAAAATTTTATTTCTCACATTATGATTGGGAAATACACAAGAAATACATTGGAATCCATATGTTTGTGCTATTCTCAGTCAGATTGGGTGAAATGCGTTTAAACGCTTTTCAATTTTGGGTCAATTTTTCACTACTATTATAATTATTCTTCATAAACAGACCGAGCTAATGATCTGAAATTTTGCACATAAGTTATAAGTTTAGATTAGTTTAGACATCAAATGGAGTAATAATCTCAAAAAATTATTTTCAGTCCCGTTACAGAGGTTACAGAATTTTATGAGAAAATAATGCACATAACATATCTCAAATTATAATGCAGTTTTAACAAATAGAGTAAAAAAGAATTCCAATAAGGAAATCGATCAAAGAGGAGATCCTTGGCCCCGTGTTCACAAGGAAAAGATCTGGATCAGGATCAGGTGATCCTGACTTTATTTTCATTGTTTTATAAAACTAAAATTGATTGTATTATGCTAGAATTAAATGGTACAAATTCGAAGTGTTAGAAATTGCTTATTTGTAAATAAACCAACTTATTTTGGACTAACATAAACTATATAATAACAAAACAAATACAAAAATAATCGAATCAAAATGAGGATCAATTTTAGGATCAAGATCAAAATTTGGATCAACTTTAAATGACCATTTCTTCAAAAAAAAAACAATAAATTTATTCTAAAATTTCATAAACATGCTGTTTTAAGCCCAGTTTTATCAATTTAATATTGCATATTTAATCTATAAGTATAAATAATGGAGAATATTTGAGTTTTTATATTTGATCCTGATCGTGATCCTGATCTTTAAATCTTTGTGAATCTTTGTGGGGATCAATGAAAACAAATTTCAAAAGCTGAAAATTACAGGGTCATATTACAGATGACGTAAGGTGTAACCTATCTCACATCCCTTAGCTTCGGCTCAGGAAGTTTTCAATTTTCACCAAAATGAGGTATTGGATTCAATGATATGATCTAGAAGGACCATCAACATTTACATCAATACAAGGAAACTTTTACAGCTGCCATGCGCAGTTGAGACCTGTTGTTCTGAGTTTATAAATTTGGAAGAGTGATCGAGTTTTTCAAAAATAAGTATATGTAAACTTAGTGATCCTAGAGTGTGGCAAAGTAGTCATTTTTGACCCGAGGAGAGCATTTCATTGGCTAATTTCGATTAGTTCCATGCGAGATTTTTGTCACAGCACCCGATTCACTTACTTGACAATTCAACATCTACTTTACAAAAAGAAAATCAACGCTCGGGAGGAATGCAGTTAAATAATATACAAATAAACAAAATTGTCACGAAAGGGGTATGTTGTCGATAGTTTTCAGAAAAGATATTTTATTCAAGGAGCATAGATATCGGACTCTTGGTCGGGAGTACGCATAAATTAAACATGAATCATGAGCATAGAACTTTCCTTAGATTATTGTTATTTTTCCTTAAATGAAGTGCGCATTGCTAAGCAAATATTATAAGATAATCAGAAATTATGTATCTTTTGATTCAAATGACAATCTAAATGTTTTCAGAAAAATCAAAATAAATTGTAACTCTATATCCCCTTAGTACTTAGCATATATGGTGTATATGAAAAGATATGTAATAAAGATATTAAAATCAACATCATTTTTAAAACTTGTATGTGTACTAAGACTCTTATTTAGTAATTGCGAAAAAGTTGTTAAGTACTTTATATCTATCCTTACTTTTAATGAGCCTCCCTAAAGGTTCTGCAGCTTTCAACAGCTCAGCCATAGTCTCGTTTCGGACAAACCCAAATCCCTTTAACGTCCTTTCTTTTGTTGTATTTTTGTACATCGTTTCCATATCGGCAAGTTTCGACCTACAATTAACTGCGTTGATAAATAATGCATTCCCGTGGTGCAGCTGTGCGTTGAGCATATGTGTCATCGTCTGTAGCTCAGAAGTTAACGACTGCAAACCCGTTGTAATCTTTTCCTGCTTCGCTGTGTTTTCCTTTCTCATTTCCTTCATTTCCGACATGAGATTTGCCTCTGCTCCATCCAAACATTCATTTATTTCCTTTCTAAATTTACGGATTTCTACAAGTGCATTTTCATTCATCTTTTCTATTCCTTCTTTACTTATTTCAATCTCTTGTTCGTAATCTGATTTTTTCTTTCTAAGATCTTCAGCTCGTTTTACAATTGATTTGTATACATCCCCATCTCTGAATGTCTTCGCCAAGTCCTTGATATATTCCGGTTTACATGATGTATGTTCTAAAACTATACAGTCTCCACATCCAACGACATCATGTAAACGACAGTAAAATTTGATGATTTCATCGTCGTGTTTCTTACATTTGATGACATCTTCTGATCCACAATCTAGCGTAAGTGGCGAAAACTCTTCAAGGGAAAGCAAAATGTGGTGTCTTGTACGTTTGCTCTTTAAATGATGTCGGAAGCACGTGGCACACATATACTCCTTGCATTCCTGGCATACTCCATTTGCTGACGTTTTCGAATTTTCTACCTCGCATGATTCACAAAACAGTTCAGATTCTAATTTCTTTCCTGTGATTTCCTTTTTTTAGAACCCTTATCAACTTATTTAACCAGATTTTGTTAAGCTATATAAAATAAATTTAAAAATTTATACATAAAATTTGATATCGATAACCCCTTTTTTTAAATATATGTGAATAAAAAAATTAAAAACCCCAAACAGTTTTATTTAAATTTAAAAATTTTTGAAATCCAAAACACATTTTTTTAATCGTCTTATAAAACGTTGAAAATTCTAAAAATATTTTTCAAAAAGTAGTGTGCCCGGTTTATTTTTATACCCCAAAAAATTATCTTTTCAAACCCGAAATAAAGATCCCCATTTCCAAAGTTTGTTTTCCCCGTTTCCCCAAATTTCTAGCTAAAAACCCGTTTTCCGGTACGTTCCCGGTTTTTAGCCTTATAAAAGTGCAAAAGGGGAAAAATTACGTGATATTTCTTTTTAAAGATTATTATTATTTTACTATTTAAGGAGGGAAAACTTGATGTATTAGAAAAATATCACTTTTCCTTTACTTTCTATCTCAAATTTTACAAAACTGAATTTGTTTATAAAGTCAAAGAAGTCGTAGTGGGACCTGCAATAATGAATAAACATATTTTCTGCGTAAACTTGTATATTTACACATATATTCTGCTACAATAATGTTTAATCATTTTTAAAGCAAAAGATTGTTTTTTGTTTTTTTCAAAAAAATCCAAAAAAAAAAAAAAAAAAAAATCATAATTATCGCTATGTTAACACGCCATTTAAGTGAATTCCCTAGCGCTGTATGTACAGAAATTATCAGAAACAGGTGTTTAGAAAGGTTTTCCGATTGCGTGAATTATTAAATGACTGGTGAATAAACATCTTAAATCAAATTCAGTTATCAATTTTTAGATTTAATTTATGCAAGCTGTTTTGAGCACAAAAATCCTTTTTCAACGTCTATATATTATTAATAAAAAAGCTGATCAATACCAGTTCACATTTTAACTCGTTAAGCATGGTAAACATTAAACAAGTGTATCTTCCGTTTTTATTCTGAATCAGAACGTTCGAGAAAAATCGAATTTACTGTTCTTTGTTTGAGCAATCTAAATATAGCATGCAAGTTGAAGCGTTATATAAATCTACATAATCACGAGTTAATTAGTTATAACCCTTCTATGAAATTATGCATGCTATGTTTGATAAATGCACAGGGACCCAGCACAGTGTTGGGATAGTGTAAGAAAGTAATTTTAAAAAAAATATATTGTATATATAATATATAGACAAGGGGTTGAACTCGCCAAATCGGCCGAATGCCCCTAGTCCAGTATAAGTCAAAATTGCAAAGTCATTCTTGCGTAAATTATATAAAGCTATATATCAAATTGCAGCTGAAATACATCACTAGACGTTGACAATAACATTATTGTCCCCACTTAAAACCGTTTTTTGAACAACAAACCGATATTTCGGGATGAAACATCGTATTTTTTGCTAGGTCGGACAAAACCCGTGCAACCTGTCAACACTGGCGATTTTCTACGTGTAAAAACGCAATTCCAGAACCATGCCATTTACCAACCCCCAATAAATCGATAATACAAAACAAAATAAACAACTTACCGCCCGGAAATTGATTTTAAAATGTTTTATAGCGTCTGTAAACAATTAATTACTGAATGTGAAAATGGGGAAAGTTGTAATCAGCATCCATTGGCCTATCACGTGACCAATTTGAAACGATATTTCATTGGTTGAGTTAAATACAAAAGCCCAGTTGCGATGCGGTCACCAGGGAATTTCGTCCAACAAAACGATGTCTTACAACCGTTGCCGAGTATGTATCATGGCTTAAAAAAAATATTTTGTCGGAAAAGAGAAATAAAAAGAAATGAATGTTTTGCCATAATTGATTGGTTTTGGAACAATTTTCAGCGGTAAGTTGTTTATTTTGTTTTGTTTTATCGATTTATTGCGGGTTGGGGTGATAATGACATGGTCTGGAATTGCCTTTTTTTACACGTAGAAAATCGAGTGTTGACAGGTTGCACGGTTTTGTCCGACCTAGCAAAAATACGATGTTTCATCCGAAATATCGGTTTGTTGTTCAAAAACCCCGGTTTAAAGTGGGACAATAATGTTATTGTCAACGTCTAGTGATGTCATTTAAAGCTGCAATTTTGATATATAGCTTTATATAATTTACGCAAGAATGACTTTGCAATTTTGACTATAACTGGACTAGGGGCATTCGGCCGATTTGGCGAGTTCAACCCCTTGTCTATATATTATATATAAAGTATAATTTTTTTTTTCTAGAATTACTTTTTTACACTATCCCAACACTGTGCCGGGTCCCTTTGGATAAATGAGCGTGCGAATCCGCTGTGTAAAAGAACTATATGAGCAGATACATGTATATCAATACTGTGTTTAGTGTAAGAAAGAAATGGATACATGTTAAAGGTAAGACATATATAACACGCAGTTCTGTCCTTGAGAGAATTGATCTTTTTCAAATGAATACTTTTAAATATGTATATAAATATGTGATTCAATTTATGACTTATTTAATCTAAATGTTTTAGATCCTTTTTAACAACAAAGATAAAGAACATATTTGTAGAAAAAAGATAATTAGGTGGACAAACAATTTATGTAATATTTCCTTCCGTTTTATTGTTAAATATGTTATCATTACAATTTCCTTTCAATCTCCTTAATGAGTCATACTATACTTAGTTTCATTTTTTTCATCTTAGTAAGAAGTTTTAATACTACAATCCATACAGATGATAGAAATCTTTAATTTAAAGGCCCATTATGCCTCGGAAATGAATAATTTTTGCCTTCTTTAGAATGAGCAAACATGAGTTTCAAAATGGGTAAATAATAGTTTATGAGCATATTAGATGCGTATCACAAGAAAAAAGTAGCGCTAAATGAAAAATTATTTCTCATAAAAGTAGTAAAATGTAAACAAAGCAGGAATTTGACTTCTATACAAAATACTAAATCACTGAAACTGTACTTATTGCCAAAAGCAAATGAGGCAAACGATGGTTCAGGTAATTTGCAATTATTTTTTTTAAACTATTGCAGGACAGTAAAATTAAAATGCTTTTGTGGTAATAAATAGAAAAATGGCTGGAGCATAATGGGCCTTTAAGAGTAAAAAAAAACAATAATTCATTAGAGATTTCTGTTTTGATGCACTAGCTGTAACCGTGCACATAAATATATAGAGGTTAAAATTATATTATAGAAGCAAGACGGAATAAATGACGGAAAAGAAATCAATGCCATTAAGAAGGTCAATGGAACAGAAATAAAAAAAAAAACAGAGACGACCAAAATGAGCAAAGAAATAGTGGTGTACCAAAGCGCGAAAGTAAGCTTGTCTTGTGTCAAATAAATATATTTTTACACAGAATTTTATTTTTGCACACGACTTTATATAAACTAGCAAATCATGCGTTTGATAAGATTTTTTTTGTTTCGTAAAATACTCGTCTATAGTTACTGTATTAGCAAAATGGAACAATCCAACAGTAATGTCAGGAACACCAGTGCTAGAAACAGTTTTATGTATTAAATGGTGTCGTTTTTATTCAGCAGGTATAGTCTTTATTTATAGAGTGATATTTCTCGTTGAATATTTATACATTTGGTTGACCTCTAACTTTGGGGTGTGGGGTGGAGGCACCGCACTGGTGCAAAACATATACATGTATTTTACACTTTTGCTCTTACAGCCTTTATTGACTTATGTGCATTGAATACATTGACAGATATGCGGATTCGAGGAGCATCCATAGCTTACAACGATATTCTTGTTTCACTTAGGCTACGAATCAACAGATATACCGTGCGGTTAACATACTGCATAGTGATATTATTTGTTCTTATTTAAGGTTGAATTATTAAAATATGCTGAACTTAGAGGTTACAAATAGCGATAACTAAAACGATAAGAAGAGACATGGCAGTACAAAAAGACGAGAAACGTACCGACGTCGATACAGTCGACCCAGATGTGGATCACGGATATGCCTGGGTTATTTTAGCAGGTATTTCTATGTCAGTAATGTCGGCAATGTTGACCCGTTCCAAAATTATTTTGACTTTTCTTATTCAAAAAGTATATTTTCTTTTTGTTTTTATCAAATGGACTATTTTGTTGTTGTTCTTTTTCTTGTGAATTTTGTTATGATATCAATTTTTTAAAGGTACAGATATGGAACCATTCAAAATATATTGCTAAAAGGAACTTCACTGACATGAGGTCTAAAAGCCTTAAAATATAAAATTCGAATTACATATTACATAAATTAACCGGGTCGCTTAAAACAGAAATATATGTAAAAGATATATACTTATATAGTATAGATTGCAAATTGGATGTTTGTGCTTTAAAATTTTGGACATTTTTCTCAATAAGAATAATTATTCCGAAAAGAAAAAAGAACAAAAAAAGACGGAGTGAATGAATTATCTTAAATTTTGTACACATGTTTTAAACTAGACCTACATCAAATGAAACATTTATCTCGGAAGATTTTTACCAGTGCCGCCATACCCAAAGCAACATCAGTGGAGTACTCTTAAGATGTATTAAACAAAGAAATTTTTCATTACAGGATGTTTCATGATGTATTGCCTTGTTATTGGAACTATCAAGGCTTATGGTATATTGTATACAGAAATGGTGTCTTATTATGGCACAGGATCTGGTAATACAGCTTGGATAGGGAGTATGGTTCTTCTACTAGTATTAGGACTATGTGAGTATGTGTAACTGTCTAACTACCAAGTGAAATCTCTCAGTATTGATAAAGATATACAAAAATATATAATAAAAGATCCACATATAAAATTCTCCAAATCTGAATGGCTTAAACACTTTGTATACGATGCCGATTATACCGTGAAGAACCGAAACTCGCACATATATCTGTATTATATAATATTTCTGCTCTGACTGCAGTTTTAAGTAGTTCTCTGTCTATCTATCTACTCAACACTCGAGTCACAAAGATAAATGTCAGTCCACATTGAGTACATCCAATGACTAAATGTTTTGAATTGATTCTATCTTGTAATCAGGGTCTTTCAATCTGTTTGAAAGACCGTGTTGCCATAAATAATTATATAATCTTGACATAAATGTGCATTGCTTTTGGAGGGATTCTTTATTGTTTAACAATAACTTAATTACGAGTAAATATGAAGTTTTCGGTATCTATCAAATCAACACTCCTGTCATAAAGATAAATGTCAGTCCACATTGAGTAAATGTTTTGAAATTCTTCTATCCGGCAATCAGGGTCTTTCAATCTATTCGAAAGACCCTGCTGCAATGTATAATTAATTTTCACTATGTAACTTAAATAGATTGTTTAAGGTATTGTAAAACAAATCAAAATCCTCCTTTTTATCAATCTTTTTCATGACAACTAAATAAATTATTTATTGTACTCGGTGACCTATAAGTTTTTAATTTTATCTCCTTCCACAGCTCCAGTAGCTAACTCGTTCAGTCGAAAAATTTTATTCCGACGTGTGGCATTTGGGGGTTTACTGTTGTGTCTCGGATATTTTCTGTCGGGATTTGTGCCAAAGATGGAAATCATGTACCTGGCCATGGGAGGGTGCGCAGGTTATAAATGATATTTGTGATAAAATGACTTTCTACTATGATAATGATCAACTTCTGTTTGCTGATCAGAATACAAGACCGCAAAAGATATAATAACTTGAACATTGTTTTTATATTTTTCGTATAGGGCTTGGATATGGTTTGTCGTTTTCACCATGTTCAACTATCATCACTTGTTACTTCAAGAAACATACAGCACTTGCTAACGGAATTGTCGTTTCTGGGAGTGGAATAGGGGCGTTGACATATCCTGCTATTTATAGGTTGTTGTCTTTTGAAATTTTACATGTACTGTCCTAATCATATTACTTAATTAATTATTTGGTATACCGTGTATTATCATAAAAATTTGAAATAGGTTCCTGAAATTTAATTTCACTTTATACGAGGGGTGTTCAAATATGAATGCAAGTTGGTCAATTTTCGGAAGCGCTTAACAAACGGTGTTAAAATAATTATCTCAGTCCTTCAAAATACTCACCACCTTGTGATATACCAAGTTTTAGTCTTTTAATCCAATCTCAAAATATTTTCGAAGTATACTGTTCAAACACTGGAAAATAGCCGAACCGAGATTTTATTGCGTTTGCTATTTTCTTCCAGCAAGGTGTTTTCTGAGCCTCAAAAATAGGAAAATGTCAAAAGGGGGAAGATATGGCGAACAAGGAGGTGAGGAAGCTCGACAACCTTTTCCTGTTTTAGATATTCTCGTGGAATGGCAGCTTTGTTTGACGAAGCATTGTCATAACAACCTGTCACCACTGAGACCAGTAAATATTTGGAATATTTCTTTATTTACGAAGAGCCTTGCCTTTGTAAAACTTGGCATTTACATATTTACCCTAAGGTGCGGCAATTTTGAATAGCAGACCCTTGATTGGTAAAGAAACATATAGCTACTTGTACGTTTTGCTATGCAAGGTATTTGACTGCTATGCAAGGTATTTGACTTCCATTGGTTGCCCATATTTTGTTATGTATCTTTCGCTTGGGCTCATAAATTAAAGTGAACACCAGTGATGATATTTGTGAAAGATCGATTGTTGTATTTAGAGAACTGTTTAACAATTCTTTGGAGATTCTTATCCGAGCAAGTGTTTGCACTTTTGTAAGGAGATGGGGTATCCATCTGGCTCTTATCCTTCTCATTTAAAGTCACGTCTGAGAATTGTATGAGCGGCTCCTACAGACAAACCAACGCATTTAGCTTTATGCTTAGTTGTAAATCTTGCATTAGTAGCAATCAAATCCTTTACTTTTTCAACCATTTTTGGCGAAGTTGCAGTTTTCGGAGGGCGTCCATGAGGTGCATCTTTTACTGAATCCACACCACTTTCAAATTTCATACACCACCGTTTGACACATTATAAAGTCCATTATTCCCATAAACACATGTCTTTTGAATACAGCGGTTCTAGATGTAGGACTGTATTTGGTCAGTGAAAGGAGACCTTAACCCAACCATTTTAGCTAGTATACACGAGTAGATAGAGTTAATCGAGCTATTGTCAAAGCTATACTGAACTGATTTACACATGTATTGTATCAATTGAGAGCTTTCACAACCATCTATGCGATATATGTACAGAGTTCGTGGTTACAAGCTAGATATTGGCCTAGTTGCATTCATATTTGAACAACCATGGTATTTTCTATTTCTCAACTCAAATGCTATAGAAATAAATTGAGTTTGTCCGGAAATTTACATATCCCTATTTATTTCAGTTTCTTTATTAAGAAATACGGCTTACATGGGGCATTCTGGGTAATTGGCGGCATTTTGTTGAATGTCTGCGTAGCTGCATGTGTCTTCAAACAACCTAAGCTTTTATTGAAAGAAAAAGAATCTCAAGAATCAACAGGTGCAAGGAAAGATCTAGAACTGTTATTGAAGAAAGTTAATGATGACCAGAAATCTAAGGACACGCTGACCAATTGTTATGGACTGGATTTTCGCTTTTCCCTATTCAGAAATCCAAGATTTTCAATGTATTGCGTTAGTGTTGTACTTTGTATGAACGGGTATGGAAATACTAGTAACCTCATAATGATACCTGCCTATATCAAAGATGTTGGATATGACACTACGCATGCGGTGTACGGGGTAACAAAAATGGGAGGGTGCGAGGTTGTTGCAAGAATTGCATTTGGCTTAATAGCTGATCGAAACATCATGAAAAGAAAACATATTTTTTTCTTCTTAAGCATGCTCATTGCGCCTGTGTTTAGTTTCATTGCACCTTTCTTCGACATTTTTGTTTTCCTTGGGGTATATGCTGGTGTAATCGGGACGTTTCCAGGATCATTTTGGAGTTTAGTTTCCGTTTTAATAATTGATGTTGTCGGAATGGAAGATTTTGCGCCAGCATTTGGCCTTGTCATGCTTTGTTTAGCGTTTGGTGTTGTTATAAGTCAGCCAGCTGTTGGTACATATTCCTACAACATGTCTTTACGTTCATAAACCTATTTACGTTATACAGAATAATACTTTACAGTAATTTCATTTAAAGTAACGTAACCATCAAATATAGTTACGCTTACCATTTTAGATTTAAGCAAAGGAAGGTGGTATATCATATTTTCAACAATAATTGATCAACATAAATATTATTAATAACATCTAGTACTAAATGAATTCTTTCTCACAGTAAGATCTAAATTATTTTTTCACATGCACATATTTCTTGTTATATGCAACAAAGCAATGCATATTGTAGAAGTGCATTTTAAAGGTTTCGAAATGGTGAATGTTTCATAAAAGATGTCCTACAAATTAGAACCAGATATTCTTTGTTTCATTGAGTTAACAAAACATAATATTCTGAAGAACGCCATGGTTTTGACACTTATTTAGGGTCTGTAATAGAAATCTTTGTCTGAAATTACTTATATCCTACAAAAAACTTTAATCATTCTTAATTACAGGGTGGCTGAAAGATTACACGGGTAACTAGCATGCATCCTTGATATCAACTGGTTGACTATTTTTTATTAGCTGGCCTTCTGATTTCAATTGAACATTATATTATACGATTTTTCAAGAAACAACCAGTACCAACAGTTGATATAACCATAGTTACCGAATTTCCTCTTAAAAATAACCAAACAATAAAACCAGCAGACGACACGAATTCTTTACTGGATGAAAATGGTGACATCGTCACATCATCAAGAATAGGTAGGACTTATACACCTTATGACACAGAACAATATCAATCAAATAAACAGGATTTGCAAGTTCCAGTTGTCGATGCCAACGATGTTTAATGTGTCATTACAGTCAAAATAAAGCCCACTTGTCTGTAAAGGCCAATTTCCGTCTTTCCATTTGCTGGCCTTTGTTCACAGGTTTAACTGTGTATACTTGGAGAGTTATCTCAAAATATAGACGCTACCTCTTATTTGTGAAGGCAGGCGTAGAAGCAGTTGATATGCTGAACAGCTGAGTTTTGTGTACAGAATACTAAAACACAGCTCCAAGTAGTTATGAATTGGCATCAGTGTTTTTGTAGCAAAAGAGAACAAATGGGATTGATGAAGTGTACGGATTTTAACTTAAAAATCAAATTATCATATATCAATCAAGTTTGTAAAAACAAAATGGTTCATTGAAATTTGAGATTAATAACAATATTCTAATTATATTATGAAACTTAACAGCTCTAATAATGCTTTATTCTGACATCTGTTCTTTTCGAACTGTATTGTCCATAGTTTGGAACCTATTGTCCTGGAATCTCAGGGAGTTTATCATCATCCTATCTCAAAATCATTCTTTTAAACTTCAACACTATATTTGATTTATAAAATAAACATGTGTGTTTTAAAATGTTTGGGCCAGTAACAGGGGGACAATAATCAAAACAAAGTATGCTTTGTTTTGATCAAGTTTTTCATTTTATTATGACTCGTTTTTAACAAATATCATTTGTGCAATTAATGACGCAAATTTGCTATTCAAATAAAATGTGATAACTTTATTTGTTATTATTTATTATAATATCTTTATTAGTAACATTTTTCACGTGTTTGCAAAACATATGATAAAATGCAGCCAAAAGATTTAATCGACAAAAATGATTATGTGCTTCATTTAAAGAAAAATGGGCATGAAAAAAGGATCTAATCAGAATATAATCGTTTAAATTAGACCAGTATATGAACATCTTTAGTATGGTATATTTAAAGTAATGTTATATGGATCATAATGAATGTATTCCTTGCTTATATACTATTTGCCTTTGGTTTATATACTCCTCGCCATTGGTTAATATAATCATTGCCTTTGGTTTATATAATCCTTGCCTTTTGTTCAAATAATCATTGCCTTTCGTTTATATAATCCTTGCCTTTGGTTTATATAATCTTTGCCTTTCATTTTAATAATCCTTGCCTTTGGTTTATATAATCCTTGCCTTTCATTTAAATAATCCTTGCCTATGGCTTATATAATCCTTGCATTTGCTTAATATAATCCTCGTCTGGTGGCTCGAGGTTATGGTAAAACATGCAAAGGATACATATATACGACCATATAATCTGTATAATGTTTTTGATACAAATATTGAATACTTGTATTTGAATTTCTTTGATAAACAAATGCAGTCCCGTAAGACAGTGTACTTGACTATTCTAAGTGCTTGACAGTAAGATAATCGAGCTAAAGATAAGTCAGGTATATAGATTACATAAATGTCATGGTTATCAAATGAAAATCGATGTTACAAACAGGCAGAATCACAAGATATTAACATTTTGAGATATTGAACCATTCTAGAACTGCCAATGGCATTCTAGAAATTCGATCTACACAATGTATAATACCTGGTAAAGTTTGTATCTTTTAAAAATGCGTTCAGTTAAAATATTGCAGAAACACTTGAACACCTTCTATCAAAGAGAACATCTAGACCTTTAACAGTTGAATTGAAAGTATAAGCTTATGACGATGAATTCAATAATTAAGATATTTTATCCACACAATCACCCAAAGCTGTAAACATCAATGCAATTTGTATTTTAAGTATCAAATCCATAAAGACATAAGGCAGGCAAGCATTATATTTTTGTGAAGGTCAGGGTAAAGGTGTAATGTTTCCTTATTCAAAGGTTTGTTTAATATCAATGATTTGTACATATTATCTCGAAGAATATAATTTATTTCATGTCTACATTATATAAACTATGGAGACTGATTTGTAATACTTTTGCACGTCGCTTTGTCGTCCTGTCGCTAGCGAAGAAACACGACAAAAGGTGCGTTGCCTTGCGGTGTGTTTTCGAAATGACACAGTGTCGATTGACTCAAATAAAAGAACGATAATCCGCAGTTTGGCACTCTAGCGGCGCCAAGACGATAAGGCAATAACGATATTTGTTGTGTTTTCACAAGCGACAACTCAACGCTCAGAAATGTAACAAATCAGCCGCCCTAATCAATAGATGAATAAACAAATTATCGTATCTCTGGCAAATTTAAATCTAATCACTCTGTATTCTGCTTTTTATTTTTTCATCACTACATCACATTTTAATACATTTTTGTCTTTTAAAAAGTTAAAATAGGGCATAACACCAAATATATTACTTTCAGAATTATGCCACTTACCTTGTCATAATATTAGGAAAATATTCCAAGTTTTTATGGTTATACTTGATAACTTTTAAAATGTTTGAATAATGAACTACATTAAATTGTTTGCACAACGACAATGTCAACGACGCCACAGCGATCATGATAGTTTGACTAAATTTCAGGTTTCAGTGTGTTTTATAGCATAATTATGTATGTTTTAGTGACAAACACGAAGCGAAAATGATCAACGGTCAGCCAGTCTCCTCGGAATAAAACAATTCCAATCGTATGACCGCATAAATTTAAGTCAATTTATTAATAAGTATTTTAATACTAAAATAACCACTATTAGACTACAAACATGTTTTAAAAAATCAATCAAAGACAAAATAATCACGGTAAGTACAATATAGTGCTTAAAAGGCTATAAGACTTATTAGGGTTACATATTTGCAAACAAACTTCTTGTAAAATTGAATGAATAAATATAAAATAGTAAAATGTAAGTTATCAGTTATTTACATGTAAAGATATTATAAATATGCACAACCCAAATTTTGATAAAATGCGATTTGTAAAGATGATTTGTTCATATTGCACTAATGTAGAAATTATAAAATAAAAAAGCAAAAGTTACTAGAGTTATGGTATTTGTCAAACAAAAGATTCCAAATTTAAACAGAATACCCATCATTTGTCGTAGAAATAGTAAAAGTGAACTTTCCTGTTTTATAGATTTTATAGATGCCTGTGTTCGATTACTGAAATCTTTATTGATTTTATTTTCCTAAAAATAAAAACAGATTTTCAGGAATTCATCAATATATATGAATTATTATGAAGTAATACAATCCCAACACTTAGCTTATACATGTGTATAGTTATATGAATAATGATTTTTTTTATTTTTGTCACCAACTGTTGTCATGCTCAGAAAACCTGTCTAACAATCAGTTAATGAGCGATTTAAAAGCTACAAATGTCTGCAATAACATGGAACAGATACGGACGTTTAAGATGGTGAATATATCATATGTACTAAAATATAAATTTGACATTGGTCATGGTCAATGTTATTCTTGCAATATACAAATGTATATCACATGATTCACATCATATTGACAAGCTAAAATGTCAACCTTTTTTCCATTCACTTACACTTTACACATTAATTATGATAACATATACAACTATTTTTTATCATATGTAATTGTCCATATAAGGGAAAGTTTGGTGTATACAACAACTGGGTGCAGGTCAACTTAGATCCGTCTTATATTGGCTACACAGCCTATAAAAAGATTATCGATGATGCTTTTGACCATGGCAAGATCAGCAAAGAGAAAGCGCTGCAAGCTTACTAAGAAAGCATGAAGGGAGAAGTGGATTTATTCAACTCTGTGTAAAGTTTATATGTATTCATAATAATAAAATCAAATATTATTCACATGTTTCGCAACTCAACACATTATCCTGACAGAAGTATGGTTAAATAACACTCGAATTTCACGAGGTTTGCAAGAGACAAATGTCACACATTTCTTATTTTATCTTTAAGAATGAAAGCAAAGAGTCTCCAAACTATATTGCATCTAAACAAGGAACAATGATTGAAAACGCTAAAACTAAAAACACTTTAACTGTAGCGAATCGTTATACACTATTATATGCTGTCATAGTCTGAACCTTTCACTGTAGAATAAATGAACTTTACATACAACGTACGTAAATCATGATTAATTGAAAAAAGATATTTGAGATATTTAATTGGACTTTATGTTAACAATAAACACATTACAGCTTATTGACACACTCGTGTATAAGATGTTGTGTAATTTTCGAGTTGTTCTTAAGGATTTCCAGGTGTCTGAATTATTATTGTGCAAGTTACTTTCGTCCAAAATGATCGAGTTTAAAAAATAATTTGATGTAAGGTGTTTATGCATGTTCACGTTACATTTTACACCTCAGACTGTCTTTAGGCTAATCGGACTGTCTTAAGGCTAAACAGACTGTCTGTAGGCTAATCAGACTGTCTGTAGGCGCCTCAGGCTATCTTAAGGCTCTTCAGAGAGTCTTTATGCTTCTCATACTGTCTTTAGGCACCTCAGACTGTCTTTAGGCTAATCGGACTGTCTTTAGGCTGATCAGACTGTCTGTAGGCGCCTCAGGCTATCTTAAGGCTCTTCAGAGAGTCTTTTTGCTTCTCATACTGTCTTTAGGCACCTCAGACTGTCTTTAGGCTAATCGGACTGTCTTTAGGCTAATTAGACTGTCTGTAGGCGCCTCAGGCTATCTTAAGGCTCCCCAGAGAGTCTTTAGGCTCCTCATACTTTAAGCTCGGGGTCCTCTAAGTACAATTGTTACTTGATGACAATAGCTTTATTAGTATGTCTTTGATTTTAAAGTCATGCCTCTTTTTGTCTATAGGCTCCTCATTCTTTAGGTACCTCAGACTGTCTTTAGGCTCCTCAGAGAGTCTTTAGGCTTCTCATACTGTCTTTAGGCACGTCAGTCAGTATTAAGGCTAATCAGAGAGTATTTAGACTTCTCATACTGTCTTTAGGCACATCATACCATAAGCTCAGGGTCCTCTAAGTGCAATTCTTACTTGATGACAATAGCTTTATTAGTTCGTCCTTGATTTTTAAGTCATGTCTCTTTTTTCAGACCTAGACATTAAAATATGGTGTCGTCAATGTTACTTTGAAAGAAGAATGCATCAACTTGTAAGATATGAAATGCGGTGAACAAATGACAACATTGTCAGGACCTAAGAAAGCTTCATTTTGATAATAACATCCTTTTCACTTCTAAATAGAGCTATGTTTTCATTTTCATGCTGTTAGTTTTAATATATTAACTTAGTTTCACCAATCGGTGTGTTTATTTACCCTCATTCTTTACCATTTGTACTTTTTGCTTAACTCTGTTAATTCTATATTATTATCTTTGTACTTTTTATTGCCAATACATGTATATATGAACTACTTTATACATTTCATTTGCTTATCTCTTTGATATACATTTTGGGACTGCATATGCAAACAATTTACAACAATTGCTTGGACTATTTTTGAAGTATATTTAAAGGAGTAATTCTTGACATGACTGCTTACTAGTATATTGTTTATATTTTTGTGTATAATTTGATGACGGTCTGGACCAATTACGAAAATGCTCTTATCTCTTTTTACTCCAATCGGACAAGTTACCGCACAAAAACAATGATGTTTCGTTTTTATTCCGAGTATATTTCTACATAATTCTTTTCAGATTTGTCCGTTTGAAATGTCCTAGTTGGTCTTTGTAACGAATTTTGAATTTTATGCTTTAGGCTCATGGGTCTTCTTTGATACTTGTCAATGAGGATATGTTGTTAATTCAATAAACACTTTGCTTGTATACATCGTATTCAAAAATGTTTGAAAAAGTTTAAATTTGTACTAATTAATGTATCATTTAAATACGATCTTTAAAAAAAATGCAAATTATATGACTATGCCATGACTTATTAAACATTACAATTTTTAGTGAGAATACAGTGAATTCTTAGCAACCATACTTTTAATGATTGTTTCCTAAGATCAAGGTTCTTTGTGCATCTAAAATATAAAGTGTTCGTTGTTCGTACACAGATCGTCAGTGTTAAATTGTTAACAATAATAATACCGTTTATATTATGACAAGTGTAGATTTATTGATAATAAAAATCGAACACATTATGACAAGTGTAGATTAATCGAACATAAAACCGTATACATAATGACAAGTGTAGATTAATCGAACATAAAACCGTTTATATTATGACAAGTGTAGATTTATTGATCACAAAACCGTATACATTATGACCAGTGTAGATTAATCGAACATAAAACTGTATATATCTATATCATAACAAGTGCAGATTAATTGAACATTTAACCCATAAATTATGACAAGTTTAAATGGATGAACACTTCACAAACATTTTCATACGGCTTTTTTTTATTTTCTGTTTTCATGCGGATATTGACTTAAGCAACAATTTTGTATTAATGTATTTAGTCTTATTGTTGTCAACAGAGTTTCTAAATGATTTCCAGGTCATGCGAGTCTTCTTGTCCAATGCAGTAACTATCCATATATCCATTATCCCATTTTACGATTGCCAGGCCGCTCTGATTAAATCCTATGACCTTGCCTGGTCGCCCACCGTCCTGAAAATATATCGATATTTTTTTTATTGATAATCGATATTTTAAGTACATTATGTATAACTTACGATGATTGAACAAGTTAAGCAAATTATTACTTTTACAGAAAAAAAAACACACAAATTTATTTAAAAAATAATACAACTCATTTGAATCATTTACAGGTACATACTACCAAAATTACCTGGTTCGAGCGTTTACAGTCAGGGCTTCGACGAACTCGCACACCAACACCATAATGTTTCTGTTTCTGTTCTGGAAATGAAAACCAACCAAACATAATCTTACGCAACAATTTTACAAAATGTATTTCAAATTCCGCTACACAAAATGCTCATAATGTTGTTGACAATTCTAGAAGATTTGGCTGATTTATATCATTGTGTGAATAAGATCAATATTTAAAAGAAACATATGAATTTTGTCCATAAAATAGCCATTTACAATTTTTCTAAAACTTGTCTGTTTTCCGCTTATATTTTGTTCATGCTTTTATGTTGAATACACGTACACATCCTCAATTCAATTCCGATAATTTTCATTTTCATGTAAATTTACTGCATTTTACGAGGTTGATTTTTTTTATAAATTATCATCAATATCTGTATGTTGGTTCAAAATATGTTGATACTTTCTAGTTCTAATTCCATGAAACGATATGCATATTGAATTAACGAACATGTCATCTAACATAAGCATACACATTAACTTTAAATAACACATTGATGATGTGGATTTAGCCCTAATACTATCTCAAAATTGTTTTGATATTGTTTTGCGCTATGATTTACAGTGATCGTTCCATTTTACTTGATCAATTTTAGATTGATACTGCCTTGACAATATTCAAAGGAAACGAAACTTCATATAATTATCGTCATCCCTTTAATTAGACATATAACCATTTATATAATTATGTTACAAAGACCGCACTAAAACCAAAAATCCATTGAAAGGAAATCCTCGAAATAGAGTCATTTTTAATAAAATAATATATGTTTCACATATGTGATTCAAAACGTTTTATCTTCGTTATAATTAAACATTAAACATTCACTGACTAATTGTATGACAGGTTAGTCTGAAATAAATGTAATCAGATATTTTAATTGAGCAACATTGATTAATAGAAACGTACGATATCATGGAAAGAAACTAGGAAACATATATACTTATGCCTAGTTGATGGGGAATCCGTCTTGCATTTATCTTCAGTCTTTCTAATGGATCTGTAAATTTCAGAAGCCATGCCATATGTTCATTACGGACAAACTTGACCCCTTTCAGAACGTTTTCTTTTGATGTGTTTTCAAGCATCGTTTCTATGTCGTCATGACTAGACTTACAATTCACTGCATTTATAACTAATGCATCCCCGCGATGTAACTTGGTGTTGAGCATCTGTTTCATCTCCACAAGCTCTGAAGTTAGCGAGTAAAAACATTTTTAAGGTTTTTCCGAATATCTGTGTTTTTCTTTCTCAGTTCCTTTATTTCTAATAGGATTTTAGCCTCACCTTCATCTAAACATTTATTTATCTCCTTTCTAAATTCACGGATTTCTTTAAGAGCTTTTTCATTCATCTATTTAACTTCGTCTCTTCTCTTTCCAAGCTCGTGTTCATAAGTTGTTATCTTTTATCCAATGTCTTCAACTCTTTTTGCAATAGTTTTATATATATTTCCCTCTTTAAATGTTTTCGACAAGTCGTTGATATATTCAGGTTTGCAGGTCGTATGATCTAATACTATACAATCACCACATCCGACGGCAATAAAATTTGATGATTTCATTCTTGTGTTTTTCACATCTGGTGACATCTTCAGATACACCTCCTAATGAAAGGTTTGAAAACTCTTCAAGAGAAAGCAACACGTGGTTTCTTGTATGTTTGCTTTTTAAATGATGACGGAAGCATGTGATACACATATATTCCTTGCATTCCCGGCATGCCCCATTTGCAGATGTTATCGAACATTCAACTTCGCAAGGTTCACAATACAAAATAGATGTCTTTTCTTTCCTTCCTGTAACTTCCATTTTGGTTGTTTTTTCCCTCATCTGAGACTCATTTAACAGTTATTATGACGTTTTCAACAGTACATCTTCAACAAAACCATGTGATTAAAGTCCATACTTTGTAGATAACTCCAACTTTAACAATTGCAATAATAACCTTATCTGAATACAAAACACCCCACTTTTTATTTGGGTCAATATCCTTTATCTCGCAGTTTAATTTTGATGGATATTTTGAAAATGGGTCTATTGATTTCTTTTACCATATTAAAGCAGAATGCCTTCAGATTCATGATAATTTCTAACGAAAATGTATTCAAAAGTAAAATATTATGAGGTGAGTAAAGAACGTAATTTACACATTGAAAAAATGACAATTACTATCCACGTTAATTATGATAATTAAATGAGGTTTAAATATGCTAAAAATACAGAAGGGACATTTCGAACTTCATGAATTCCCGATTACATCTTTATAAATTGACGATCTTATCTTCACGAATTCAAAATTCCAACTTCACGAATTCAACATCGTGACATCGCGATTTCAGCTTTATGACTTCTTAATTTCAACTTAACGAATTTATGAAGCTAAAATCGGGAATTCGTGAATTCGTATTTTGAAAACGGGAATTCAATAAGTTGAAATTGTGAATTCACGAAGATGAAATCGGGAAGTTATGAAGTTGAAATGTCCCATCGGTAGATCGTAAGATATTGCCCTTACTGCGTTAGTCACGCAGTAAAACTAGGATGATAAATACTGCACAATCAGTCGTTAATCATGCATGAAAATTATTACTTGAAATTTGAATTGTTGAGTTTTCTTTTATTTATTTTTTTGAATTATTTTGGCTCATCTGGAGGCATGCAACTTTAAGGATGAAAGGATTCTATTTATTTCCACAAAAATTCCAAATAAATGTGTATTTTGTTTTTAATATTGAACAATTTGTGCATGAACAACAACATATTTTGCTTCATTTATAAAATTCTTCATTTTTTGCATCCTATTGTTTTATTACATTATCATAAAAGGTAAAGAGTCCCGTACATGCCGTACATATATGTATATTACAGTAAAATGAACATTTCACAATGACTATATGTTAAGTATCTGCTTACTTTGCATTGACTCAAAACTTTATCAGAAATGATTGAGGATTTAAATCCAAATTTTGGTATGAACATTTGTCAATAAAGTAGTTCGCAAATAATTTATTACATGGAATAACTAGGAATGTGTAGTAGTTTCATAAAAACTCTAGTCATAAGTGCCATAAAATAACTGATTCGTAAAATATATTTTGCCTACATAATGAATGTTTTCATTTGTGGACAAAGAAGGAGGTTGTTAGATTATGGAAAGGGTTTGTCGATGAGGTGGTGGATAAAAAATTGTTTGGAGATAAACAAATTGTAATATTGAACATACAAAACTGTAATGAACAAGCATATATGACATATAACTTAATTTATTGCAAAATAAATGTTTTTATGGTCACTTACAAGCTTGATGGTGGGTTTCATTAGGTCTTTAGTCATAGGTCGAAATATATTGGGTTCGAAAAAGCCGTACTAGTAAGTACACTAAGGTTATCGTTATGAGTAAGTACAATGTGATAATTGATGCTGTTTAAGTCCGCCATTTTAGAAGAAGAAATAATTCATAACAATTTTCAATAAATTGCTTTTATACACGGTAATTATACTTTGTTTGATCGCTCATTAGTCCAGGAAGGTTACAACTTATCCGGCAATAGCTAACAATGTAGGAATGTTTGCCACAGTTTGGTAATTAAATTTGACTGTCTTTGTTTTCACATTTTTGTAGACAAAGGAATCTGTGTCTACAGTACGTTTTGCGATTGGATTACTGCATAATGTGTATAAAAACACCGGTGGATGATTAACTCTTCAATTCTATGTTAGTAAAATGTCTATACTAATATTAGGAACATCTCATATACACTGGTTGGAACGATTTCTTCGACAAAAGGGTAACAATAACAAATCTTTAACGTTGGTGGCGATGCTAGCCCCGCCCTGCTAGCCCGGCCCCAGATGTTACATTTCCGAAGTATAAATGGAGGAAAGATTTACAATAAACACAACGTTAACTGTTGAGAACTGAGTGTATCAGAACTGCATCCAAAAA